CCTTGAGACTTTGAGTACAGAAAAATAAAGATGCCATACGCTCTGGAGATTCTTCACATTTTATAAAAGGCAAAGATTCAATTTTGAATTGACCATCAGCCTCATTTTTGTGTTTTAAGTGGAATTTCAATTTCCATTTACTGGAGAGTGAAACTATTGAAAAACTTTGAAGCATCAGACCTAAAGGACAAATGTTCATAAAGTACGCACCTGTCGCTGGTTTGGTGGTGTGAGGCAGAAGGGCACTCAGGCTTTTGGTTTAATAACATTCGCATTGTATCAACTTGCTGTAATGAGCTCTTGTGCAGGGTTGCAGACCAATGTTGTTGAGGGAATGCATAGAGATAGAGACTTAAGTGGTGGCTGTTTCTCTCGCCACACTTCACTCGAGTAAGATTTTTATGTTTTCCCAATTTTAGATGGAACTCTAGTCAAAGTCAATGTTGTCTCAAATACACCTAACTTACCACTTGTCATGTATTAACCTTTTTTTCCTAACCCTCAAAGTGCTTGGTTATTTTGGTTCATCTCACAGTCGAAGGGCGGGTGGATTTCCCTAAGGAACTTGTGGTGATATCGCAAAAAAGTCAAGGGGGGGGGGAATGGATTCCACCCCCCCTCCAGCTCTTTTACAGTTAATGCCATTATAATGTCTTTTCTCTTTTTTAAGTATGTGAAAGTCTTTTGATGTTGTTAGTGTAGTTTGACTGCAATTAAGCTTTTGGCTGCTATGGTTGAACGATCAAGTCAAATCCAAACACTGAAACATCTTGGATCGGTTTGTGTCTGGTTGATCATAATATATCTCAGTCTAATAAGCGTTACTTTAAGTCCTCAATATTTTGACTTATTACATCCAATTTGGGTCTGTGACGATACTTTCCTCTTCTTTATCCTGACAGTGATGGTAGTGAGCCCATGGCCGTACCGCCTCCCTTCCTGGACAGTGGTTTCTCCCCCCAACATCGCCACCTACATCATCACCTTCACCATTACCATCACACGGCCCCACCACCACCACCACCCCAGCAGCGGAACACCGCCGGCATCCACCCAGCCTTCTATGGCAGCTATGTGAGTTTACATTTGTCAGTATGAACAAGCTTCCTTGGCATTCCAAGAGTGCATGCCCAGAAAAAAAGTGGGTCCAAGGTCATTAAGGAACAGCAGTACATGCGCAAAGTGTCTGCCCTATCAGTGCGCCCATACATCGACTCCCATGCATGTTTTACTCTCGAATGACCCTTTTTTTTTAAATTGCCAAATTGCTAGCTACACTTAGAAATGTCATGACACAGTGAATGGTTGTCTGGCATTTGGGAGGGGAGGGGGAATTCTGCCAAAGACCAGCCAAGTTCTGTAGCTGTGGTCCTATCCTAATCAATGCGGATTACCGGGGAAGTTCAGCAGTTGACCAAAGTCAACTTTCCATTTTGTCCACAGCCCGGCATGGCTGATTTGCCACCCCTGACAGCTCACCCATTCTACCGTGCCTACCGTGTGCCGCTCATGCGCAGGATGGGAATGCGCGGCCCCATGTATGAGGTAAGGTACACGGTTCATTACTGACGCCTGATCATTCATTCCACCGAGATCCATTTGAAGAAAAGCTTTCCAACAGGTCTCAAAGAGGGAGGGTCGGAATCGTTAGTGAATTGTCCCAGCAATTGGAGCGGAACTGTACGCAGATTAAAAGTTAGGAAGAAATGATGCACTGCGAAGCTAAAAATGAGGATTTAACTTTCCACTTCAACTGGCATTGCAAATTTCAAAATCACTGATTTGTGGTAAATTGCATAATTTTGTTGAAGTAATGGCAGTTTTGGGAACGATTCTGCAGTTTGGATAAAAGTCAAGTCAGATTTCCTTTAAATTTTAACCCATCGGTGTTTCCATTAAGAGTTATTCTATATTCTTTTTTCTTTTCTAAGGAATTGGTGCAGTTGAGTGAGCGGATGGGTCAAGTCAACCGTGGAGCTAGTCGTATGACCATCGAGAGAAACACCTTTCCCCACAAGTATCACAAGGTAATTAAGGATGCCTTCGTCGCTGTCCGTTGGATTAGATTGCGACTTGGCTTGAGACTAGTTGACTTGCTGCTGACTTTTTAGGACATTGTGATAGTTCTGGTTTCATTGCGTTGCCATTTCTCCAACAGCGAAAGCGTTCTGCTGCAGAGAGCTCCCCTGGCGAGGCCGAAAGTTCATCAGAGGATGCCCAAAATGGAGCCAAATCAGAGGCGGAATGTAAGAAGCCTCCAAATAACGATAACGATGAAGAGAAATGCACCATCTGCCTGTCTTACTTTGAAGAGGACGAAGATGTGCGGTGAGTTGAAATGGCTTGAGTTTGTTTCATTTATGGGAATAAATATACTTTCAATTCACAATGTTTGATTTGCAGTAAGATCAGAATGCCACACAGGGGTAGCATATTCTAAACCTAGACAAACGTAAGTAATAAAAATTGTCAAAAGATCTTTCCTAGGAACTCCAAATTTGTTGAGACCACTAAGAATATGAAGGTGTCTACTACTTTAAGCAACCATTTCCTGAACTAGAGCGCCCCATTTCAGGTTATTCTGAATCCAAACACCGTTGCGACATCAAGTAAATTATTGCCAATTATCAAAGATGGCAGGCTAGGTGCACTTTTTCCAAAATAAAATTGCGTATTAATCTCAGAGTTTTGCCCTGCCCGACATGTATTTTAACACCGTATACTCAGTGTATGCCCCCTGAAGGCTTGTGAAAAAAACCACAAGCGTACTCAGGTGGAAGAATTGCATGGTCTTGCATTTAGATGGGTTAAGCATAAGTTTATTCATCTCAGACCAATAAAGCAAACCATCACTGTTGTTTTGCTTAAGAAAATTCATTGAGGGAAAACTCAGGGAATTTTTTTACGTGACATGCTAGGAACCCCGACCTCAGCAAGACTATGCCTCAACATCAACAACACACTTGGTCCAACCTCGCAACCTTGAGTAAAGCATTCAGGTCCCATTCCTGTGAAACCTGATCGGACTTGCTGCTGTGTTGAAATCCCAGGCAGTCACAAGTTGTTCTGGCTTGCAGTTCAGTGGACCTCAAATCAGTGTCCATAGGTCTTTACCCGAGGATTAAATGGGGTTCAAAGCAGAGCCCATCACATTTGAAGAGGGGGACACTATAAAATCAGGGACACTGTCATGCATGCCTGATTGATTGGGAACACCTTTTTTGTTCTTATGCATTTGTAGCCGCCTGCCTTGCATGCATCTGTTCCATGTTGAGTGCGTGGACCAGTGGCTGAGTACCAACAAGCGCTGTCCAATTTGCCGTGTCGATATCGAGACCAAGATGCCCAAGGATGCCACATGACTAGACGGGGAGGAGAAGCAACCTTGATGGGCGGAGCTTCCAACATCCCCCCAGCCTGGTTCCCTCTCCTGGTGGTAACAAGACATGCTTTTCAATTATACCAGCCCCAGTGCCCCAATAATGCTATTCACGAGCATCTCAGAAAATGCATGTATTTTGAAGTCATGGCTTCTGTTTTTTGTCGCGCATTTTCCCTGTATAGGCCACTGGGCCAGCACTGCAGATTTGACAAGCCCAATCGGAATTCTACAAGCCCATGTTTATTTAGATGCTACAGAATGTCACCCGTTCCTTTTTGTCGCGTTCCAGCCTCAGAAATTGCCATTCCCACTGTTCTATGTAAACTCACATTTTATTTTTGTCACATGATTATCACGTGACCATTTTGGCCCATCTTCACCCTGGTTTGGGTTACTGACATTTGGTCGAAATGCCTGCACGTTGCTTAGTCGGTGAATCTTTCACTCAGTGCATGACACACTTTTTCACAGTTCCAAGAACGCACTGCTAGGCAAAGACTCAAATGCACAATACTATTGTGTAATCAGTTATGGTTAGAAAAATTGGTAACGATGTGAAAGAGAATAGTGAATGCATATGCGATACCCCGAGCTCTGTCGTACACTTCACCTGTCAACTGATTGTGTGATGTTGTGCATATTGCGCACACACAAATGTGGACGTTCCTATTGTCCTTTTGTGCATACCTTAACCTTTTTTTTGGAAGGCCCCTAATATGTTTTGTACACGTTTGGCAATCGTGGACGTATCGGGAATCGTGGACGGTCATTAATTCTTTTGTTTAACGTCCACGATTGTTTGGGAACATCAGTGCACCTGTACATGTACTATCATGCTGGCAAAACACAAAATGTCAAAGTTAATCAGTTTGCTTATCTCAGCTGCACGGCCTGGAGTACTCTACACTTGTACCCTCTGGATAGAAATCAGCCGCAGATCGCATGCAGCCACTCCATGATGGGTTTCTCCATCCGTTGTGGACACCGTTTCTGTGTTTTCATGTCCCTTGCTTAAAGCAGCTCTTAAATATGAACAACACAATTACCAACATTTCTTGTCAGTTTCAACACTCGTGTACTCGGCTTTTGAACCTGTTTTTGTTTGGGTTTTTGATAACTTTGACAAATTGTTTTTTAATCAGATATTTTGAGATATGTTTCATGGAGATGAGAGTTTGAGAGAGCTCAATAGTTTCAGCTTTAAAAGTAACACACACACAAATCGTTTTTCGTTTTGTTTAAAATATCATCACATTGTATTATTTGTATAAGTGGAATCTAATGCATTAGCTGTCTAGTGTTCATGTTCCAGACAGAAAGTTTAGGGTCCTTTGAGGAAGCCCTGGGTGTTTCTTAAACCTCGATTACGTTTCTGTTGTTTTCTGTAAACTCCAAATAGGCCCCCCCCCACATTGGGCATATCGGCTTGATGTAGGACAAAACCCTGCCATAGGATAATTAAAGTAGTGCTTGTGACATTTCGCCAACATTTGGTTTGCGTTTGCACACTGAAAGTTGATGCCAATGGATCAAACATGCAGGATTTTTATGCACACTCAGCATATGGCCAGCACTGCCAGCAGTGAAGCCCAGAAAATGGGAGACCCCTGACGAAGCCCTAAACTCCATCAGGGCTCCAGGACAAATGGCAAAGCCCAAGCTTTGAGCTGAGCTGAGTTGTTTTAGACAATGAGTGCTCTCATTCACCCAACCTGCCTCTCCATCTATACTCACTCAGCAAACAACCTAAAATAGAAATATTACTCAGGATTTGTTCCGTTGCTTTCATTGTATGGTACTTAGTGTTTAATAATAAATGATGGTGAAGGGACTTCTCGAACAAAATGTAAAAAGGAAAGTAGACTTTTCATCAGTAAAAGAATTATATAAAATTATTGCAAGTACATGTACAAAAATAGCAGGAAGGAAATTGAGAAGTTGCTGAATTTTCTTACCAACTGAACTTACCAATAGATGTTTAGTCATACAAATGAAACCAGCCTGACATTTTAATCATTGGAGAATGTTACAAGTCATTTTGCTTGGAGAATGGTTACACTAAATTTGTCATTGAAATTAAAAGTTTTATCAATAATTTCTGAATTTTAAAAATCTTCCCAAAATGTAATTGCACCATACATGTTTTCAGAAAACACTGTTGATTTTGGTAAAAGTGAATGAGATTTCCATGACTCGGAATTACTGAAAAAAAAAATTGTTTTTGTTTGGAAACTCTTTCAAGGAACTGACATGAGTTTCTTTATCATTTGTTTCATTTGTGCCCCTTGTATATAAACGCTTCACCCACCACCGATTTCCTGTAAGCAAGAATCTCGTTAGTTCTAATATTTATTGTCCAAAGGTGTCTTGCAGCAAGACACCCAGAGGCTAATAGTTGGATTTGCATGATTGGATTAAAAAAATGTACGTTACAATTTGTGTCTCCTGGTAGGCTGGTACCTGCACTTTTGGAAAATGCTTAAGCTGTAGGTTTTACCTAATGTATTTGTAAAGGAATCAAAAAGAAACTGTGCATATTGCATCAACTAACACTCAGCCAGTGCAAGCTTTGCACTGAATTAATTTTGTAGAGTAGGTGCGGAAGGATTGATGAAATATTTTCCTGCAAAGATATTTAAGGTCTGGTGCACTTTCACAAAACTTGTGTGTTTCATCGCCATATTGGCTCCTCAATTTTTCCAACTACATGTACTAGTATACAAGTATCCAAAAGGAGCTTCCTTCCACTCATTTTGTGTTTCACAGTTGAAGTGTATTTTAAATATTTAAACAGATACGTCTGGAGTAGTTTTTGTACTACGTAACATAAATATACCTATGTCTATAAAGTATTGGATGTTTTATTTCAGGATGAAATGCTTTTCAAAATTTTCATTTGTTAGTGAAAGATTTACATGACACAGAAACTGTTGAATGTCAAGATTATGTACGACAGGGGCGAGATTGACCAATGATAAAAATAGCCGAAAGCAGCTGCAAAAAGGCATAAAAAAGCTGAACTGTGAAAATCTCCTCTACTTTTGTACACTACCAGTGAGGAAAAAAGCTGAAATCCAAAACCAAAAAAGCTGAAATCTAAAAAGCGGAGAAATCTCACCCCTGGTATGATTTACTGTACACTTGCAGCGTTAAACTTTGAAGATAAACATAACCGTGACAACTGTTACATTGAATATACCACACATATATTGTGCTGATATGTTTTACTTGATATTTAAACACATGAATCATTTTATCTCAAAGGCGTACAATAAAATTCATTGTCTTTATGTTGCATAAATTTGTAAAAGTAGCTTCACATTGAAAGTTGAAATAATTTGACTTTTATTTCCACGGATTTATGAGGTGAAGGGATGGTCAACAATGGAGGGGGAATGACCTTGTAATAATGACTTCAATTTGCATGTCTGTAAGGTAGACAGTTGTGTAATTGTGTATTTTATCAACTGAAGTGGTACTTGTTCATAAGCAGACTAGAAATTGACAAATAAATTTTTTGTAGGCAGAAAAATAAACGTGATTGCTTTACTGCAGGTTGGATATTTTCAGTCACACTATCAGCTGTCTTGTGGAATACTTTTGTTTAACCCTAACCGCCAAGCATATTGTTTGGCTTACACTACACAGTACTACAAAATACTAAGTAGTAGTCTGAGCCTGAAGGACCTAGCGCTACAGATTACTACTTCTGGCTAGGTTACTTCCATTGTTACTCATACAGAGAACAATAAAGCCATGCATTCATAGTGTCACAGCACTGTATGGTACATTGTCTTATCTATTTTATTTTATGGCTTCAGAGAACAATAAGGTCATGTCCTCTTACAAGCGACAGGACTGAATACTACATTTTACTACAACTAGTGATTCGTAGTACTGTGTAGGGTTTGGGTTAAAATACCCAGATTCATGTTCACTTACATTTCATACATACAAATAATACTTTGGAAATTCTGCTACATGTACATTGTGTTCTCTAACTTTCCTGCGGAACAAAGCAAAGAGATTAAAGCCTTCTAAATCTGAGAGAACCCAACTAAACAGCAAAGCCGACTCAATCCCGAGGAGATCCATCACGTAGCGAGAGCCTGCCGCATCCAATTGAACCTGCCATCAGTAAGAGAGAAACCTGCTGAATCTAAGAGAAACCAACAAATAAAGGCCATTAAATCCCAGAAGACTCGGTAGGTAGCAAGAGTGAAGCATGCTGAATCCAAGCCAACTTAATAATGCACAGCCAGCTGAATTTACAAGTTCCCAACAAAATGGCAAAGCCCAATGAATCCCAGAACTTAGCAGTTACATGGAGCTAGACTGAACCTCTGCCAGATCCATCAGAATCCAACAAAATAAAGCCAGTTAAATTCAACACAACCCACTACAAATACCACAAACTGAATCCAACAGAACCAGCCGGTGTTGAACCCATTTAAATCCAACCCATGAATCCATTTGATTGTTAAGTACATGTATTACTCAATTTATCAAGCATTTTGATAAATGAAAGACTTTGGCAGGTCGGAAAAAGATTAAGAAAATACTGTACAGTAGTTCCTTGCACCAACTCAAGCAACTTCAGTCCATTGATACATTGATATTGCATGATTATTCAGTATCACTTGGATATCAAGATGGTTAATCATATTGTATTAACCACAAATGTTTGAGGGGACTTGAACACGAATTTGGTGGGTCAAACCCCGAACTGATGATAGGCCAGTAACATTCACTCGGCTATGCTTGACATTAAGCACTGTGTTGAGCCTTGATGCTTTCCAGGTGGGATAGTAGATTTATCAAATATACTTGCTACAACTATTGCATTTCCAATATACTGGTTACTGAAAAATCTTCAACGAATCCCAAATGCAACATAACCTTTCAAAAACAACCTAAAGGCACTGACAACACAGTAAGGGTTTCATGTAAAACTACAGTTTTCATAACTAATGACCATGGCAAGATGACGTCACGTAAACTGCTTAGTAAACGCTGCTAGATCCATTACTTGGCCAACTCCAACAGTTTCGTCCATGCTGATGAAATCATCCAAGTTCATTGTGCATTCTGAAACAAAAGGAAGTGTGAAAAAAGGAGGCTTTACAAGATTCTACATTATCATGCCGTGCAAAATGGTGTCACGTAAACTGTGTACATTCCTGCGAAGCTGGCTTCACTGAAATGTGCATGTTTGCACGTCATCGCTCTGCGCCAGGGAAATGGACAGTCCACAGGAACTGGTCCAGGCAGAGTGGCACTCCTGATGTGATCCAGGATTGCACCGAAGGCGGGGCTTTGATGTGCACATACAGAACTTGCGCAGGTCAAGAATAGGGAGTCAGCTACCTGCTGTTGCTATACAGGGATACGGAGGCGGGGGTTTCATCCATCCACCATCTACTGTCTTCATGTGAGAGCGATCCGAGGCAAAGGTCTTCAAAAAGATTTCTGCCGGTACAACTCGGAATTTCCTGAGCAAAAAAATAAACAAAAGTTATTCAAAAGATGGCTAAATTCTTAATCCAAATACAAGAAACTCAAGTCTTGCCCATGTATTAAATTGTTATTTCTGTAGATAAAGTGGTACATTTATAAGCAAAAACCAAAAGGCACTATTGAAGAAATCAATTTTAACCAATCAGTCCTTATCCAGGACAATAATTATACCACCCCCTTTCTTGCAGAATAAATAGTCCATAAAAGGAAAAAAACCAAAACAATCTCCAGCTCTAACCAGTAATCCCCCCCCCCCCCGATTTTCCTGACAAAGTGTTCAAAAAGTTGCTTTACAGAGACTGCAAGAATTTGAGCTGGTGATATTTGATCTTGTGGCAGTTGCTCAGCGTCCAGCCCCGTTGCCAGCTTCAGGCATTCAGGGAGGCCGCATCACAGGAACAAAATATATATATCATGCTTTTTACTGATGGGAGGGAGGTCAGCTTCCCGGGGGGGCCCTCGGCAACGGGCCCATCAGAGACACTGACAAACTAACGACTTATGACTTTATTTACCTGTGGTACTGAATTTTCAGCAGAGCATCATGCTGTATGGAACTCTGCAGATACGTTGTCAGAGGACACGGAAAGGGCAATAAGGAGTCCAGGTCATAGACCTGGGGCTCACCTGCCTCTGGGCAATACAGACAAATCACATGATAATCCTGAAAAAAAAATGAAGCAACGTAGAGTAAACGATGTAGCCATCGAAACTCTAAAAGAAGACAAACTGCCCATTTTCAGTTGGTATTCTCAGCCCTGGTTAGGTCTGACCCTAACCATCCATAACCCAGCAAGATTCAAACTATGTGATTTCCACTGCATCTGACAGTGGTGTAGCCAAGCCCATCGCAGGTACTTTGACAATTCCCTTCACAAGTCCTTTCACAAGACCAGTCACAAGTGACAGGGAGAACAATAACAAAGGAATGCTGTTGTCGCAGTCCGTTTGACTGGCTAATGACTTGGCTTAAGACTGGATATGGGGGGGCTAGCTATGACTTTTGATGGACTCCTCTACAATGCTGGCACCTGGTGGATTAAGGTTAACAGACTCTCACCCACACAACTGGTTCGTCAGGGCCTTTTCTTTCTCTCTGGTGCCAAATGGGAATCTGAAACACAAGTAATCAACATGATCAGGGATTAATTGGAACTGCACTTGACTGGTTTTCATGATATGGCACTAGCATGTACTTGTACAGTTTGTACATGTGTTATGCATCTTGGTTGCCTGAATGTTGATACGAGTACAACAAACGTACTGGAACTAGCGGAACTGCCTTGGGTGTAACTGGAAACTTCTTTTACACAATGAAAAAACAAACCAAAACAAAAACGCAAACACACACAGAAGAGAGATTAGGACCCTAAAATTTTGTTCTTTTCTTTTTATGATTAATTGAATTATTAAATCAAATGTTAGCCAATGTATTATGTTTAATTCTGGGTAACTTCACTATTTTCAAATTTTACTTTAGTTTTACCTTATCATCTTTTATTATATTTTAACAGTTTTTTATTCAATTTTAACCTTATTTTATGGATCAATTTTAGTGAGCATATTTTTGTCGTATCTTTATTTTGTTTCTATATATAAATAGGGACCTGAGGAATAACGGTTTTCATAACTGATGAGGCTACCCTTTATAAATAAAACAGACAACAACAGTATCTTGCAATGACAGTGATCATTATATTGAGACTGAAACCTTCATTTTCAACTCACTTTATTTTCTAACATACCTTACTGATTAGGGCTGATAGCCAAACCTGAGATTTTGATGTTACTTGAATAACATTCTGGCTTTCATTCTGATTTCTTTGAAAACTGATAAAAATCATTCCTCAAAGTACAAAACCTACAAAACAATGGATTTTTGATTCATTCCCCAGATATGCTCAAGATCTTCTGGGAGTTCTGGCAAATTTTCAAATAACTGAAGTAACCACCTACCATTTTTGCAGAATTGGAAATGAAGACAGCAAAGATGTGTTTTAGCTGGTGTCTTTGAGCATGCTCACATAATTTCCATACATTCTCTTCACTGCACAGAAAATTCAAAAGTGACAGATGAAATATTGCCCCTACCCCCAGAACTCTGGGGTTTGCTTGTGGGAGTGGACAGATGGCAAACACCAGAGTTCTAGGAGGAGGCCTACATGAATATTGCCCCAAGCTACTAAAGCCCTTTCCTCACATCTCATTTCTAATGACATAAATGGCCGCTGCCGGTGGGCAGATGTAGAAAATTTAACTGCATTAATAAAGGTTACCAGGTTATGTATTGTTTACTGCAGGTTGTTCTTTGTTATTTTAATTTTACATTGAATGCACAAAAGGTTTAACCATGGTTTAACGTTACTTGATGAGTCTATCCTACTAGTACTGATACAGGGCTTTGTATTACAAAGCTTGCCCTCCAACTCTGCTTGCTAAGGGGTCGACATTAACCTTTTTTACCCAGAAGCTAAAAACAGCTCCTGGCCTTTCAAATTCCAGGGGTTTAGGGGATCTGTTTCACTGAATCCAGGAGCTAATTCAGGCAAGTCATATCAGGCCAAAAAATAAAATAGTTCTGCTTTCGATTATATGCCTCTCAAAATAGGGTCAGTACATGTAGGTTGGAAATTTGGGGGGGGTCAATGTGTTTTTGCTGATTGAATGGCATGAATGGGGAGGAAAGCTTCAAAAAATTGTCTTCAAAATTGATAAAAACTTGTCTTAATCCTTGTAAAAATTACTACAGTAGACAATTCACAACAATTATGGACAATTCACACAATGCGAGTCATCTAATCATGACGGCAAACTGGCCAATGATGTCCGTATATTCCATGATAAGCATGCGTTATGTATCCAAACGATTTCTATGGAATAAAGCGTGTCATCATATCAAAAAGGATCAGTAATGGCCTGGTGCTTATTTCAGCACCCGACCTCTCGCTTTATGATGGGCTAAGGTGCTAATCATGGTTTGTTGGATGCAAAAGGCGCGCTCGCTTAATGTTGACCCCTGCTTGCTTGACCATTGTTACTTTCTTGTTCACATGACATACATGATATAACACAGGCTAGCCCAGTAGATGTGTTACACCCCAACTATGAGTATGACATCAAACCCAACTATAGTTGGGCCCGTCCCAAATAGAGTGCTGTAGTTGGGCTGGCCCAACTACAGCACAGAGGTCCAGGGTGCATGTTTCTACTTCTAGCATGTACCAAAGTCATATTGGCCTAGGCCTATTCATTGTTTATTCATTGCCAATTGTCATGTCATGAAGTATCATATAACAATATTTTAGATGAATGTCAAGTGTAAGAATGCATAATTTATAAAATTGGACAAGGTTGAGAAAATTTCTATATACATGTAAATTGGTCAACAATTGTTAGGCAAGCCCAGGTGCAACACTACAGTTGGGACTGTCCCAACTTTATTATATCGATAGTCATGATACATGTAACATTATAGCTGGGGCGTCGTCCACATTGGCCAGCTTTGCGATTAACACAGAGTTACCCCCGGAACTGTGGGGTCCGAAGCCCACTCCTCTCCCACGTTCGAGAGGAGCGGACATCGGACCCCACAGTTCTGGGGGTAACACAGAGCATAGTAACACCTTAATGTGGGGAGACAGGTCTGTGACCACAGTGATTCCGTATTACTTTTGTTTCCCCTATGCCCATCTTGCTTGTGATGTATATTGAATTTTTGGCATGAATAAATAATAATAATAATAATAATAATAATAATAATAATAATAACGTATGAAGACAACGTCCAACCGCAGCTGGCCTAACCCCTTCACGCCAAAGCCTGGCTCATTTGAAAAGGTCTCGGCCTTAGTGCCAAAATTTCAGCACTGATGACATACCAGTAACAGGCTGTGTAAACACAGTCCTCTCTTGAAGGAAACGTCATACTTTCTCTCAAACTGCGTCGAGCGACAATTGGGCCCCTTTTAAGCTTTTTTTTTTTTTTTTTTTTTGTTGCATTAGACCACTGGCTCCTGGAGCAGCGCCCTCTATTGAAACTTCAATTCGCCATGGTCAATTAATGAGCTGAGCTGAGACACGTACACGCACGGCGCGCGGCGGGGAGATAGAAGCCGCAGGTACCCGCACGTTAGTAAAGTTGGTTCTGCTGCATGTCCCAGGACCCTCAGCTCAGAGAGCTTCTCAATTTATTTGGATTCGCAGCTGGAGCGGCAGTCGTTCTTCTTTTGAAATGTCTTCCACAAGTCCCCGAAAGGTTTGCATCGTTGGCTCTGGCAACTGGTAAGATTAGAAAAATGAGAAAACTAAACGGCGGTCATGCCTGGGCATGATGGACATGTAATGATCTAATGCATGGTATTGGGAAAGACGATAGTCAGTATAGCCATGGAGGTAGAATTTTGCATGCATGCATTGTGTCGATGGGAGGCATAGGCGTACGTACGCGTACTAAGCCCTACCAGACCCTAATTTATTCACTCATCATGTTTATTCGGTCATTGACATGTCATTGGGGTATCTCCTTGCTCAATGGTTCGGACCATGTCTCAAAAATGAAAGTCGTAGATTTGTGTCCAAAATTTTTGAAAACACTCATGATACTCATGAGGCTGTTTTTCACCATTTTGTTTTATCATAGCTCAGAGACATCAGATTCTGATGAGTGTGTTTCATCTTACTGAGATGTTCTTCTCTCATGTCTGGTAGCGTCACCGTGAACTTGGATCTGTAGTATGTCACAAGTGAAATGGCGATCATGTAGATACACGAACTGTAATTAATCCAATTTAATTATAATTATGGCATTGCACAATTTCTTTTCTTTTGCTGTCGTGGCATTGCGATCTAGCCCAATTAATATATGCATACTTCTGTCATGGCATGCTGAGATCAGATATGCTCGATGAGTGATTGTAGTGAAGTGTAGTCTACCTATGCATTGTACATACAATAGAAGAAAGGGGGAAAAAGGAACTAGACATGGTCATGTGTTTGCTCATTAGGGGTGAGGCAATTCGAATAACTCATTGTTTGAATATTTGACCTTCAATTTGATCAAACATCGGAATATTCGGTTGTACCAACTTGCAGATTGTTGATGAACAAACCATATACAAAATCAGTTGCCATAACGCACACAATTGTACAGTATTACAATAGCTTCTCACATCTAGGAGTATCTCCAGTCACAGTTTAGCAAGACTTAAGAGATCAACAATACTGGTACTTCTTGCCCACTTGAAAATTTCAGTTCCTTTTAAACTGTTCAGTGAATAATTTGCTTTTTCAATCGTAACATTTCTGACGCTTTTTATTTGAATCTGCTTGATACAAGCCTCCACATTGCAATTTTTTCATTTAAAACAAAAGAAAATTTTCCCCTCCTTTTCATGAATTTGGCACTTGAATATTCAAATTTGGAAAATAATATTCAAATATTTGATAATCAATAGAATATTTGTATATTCGGCACAACCCTATTGCTCACCGTACATTATCAATTTTGTATTTTCCATTTGGTGAAATCCCAGTTGGACCTAGCTAGGGCTCAATTTACAAAAAAAGTGGCATGCACTGGTGCATGTAGACAAAAAAACTCATACGCACCGGGAAAAACCTACATGCATCATAATTTTGCGAATATGGGTAGCGCATATTCCTGTATATAGCAATTTAAGGATTATAAGCCAAAGATAAGGTTAGGTGTGTACATGTACTATGAATCTGCTGCTAGGAATGGGAGAAAGAAATAACACATTCCGTACACTATCTGGTCAAGAATTCAACAAACTTTATTCTTTCTCTCACTTATTGGTAAATATATATGCAGGAAATGAGTATTTTGGAGGTTAAAAAGTGCTCGGTTTAACTGAAAAAGCTACGTGCACAAGCAATAATCTACATGCACGGATGCATGCGTGCACCGAGTAAATCGAGTCCTGGGCCTAGCCATTGTTTTCCATGTCCTGGTACATATACCAAAATCTTCAGTACAGTGTACACATGTACAATGTACAGCATACATGTACACCTGTTTTCTTAGAACTCTATTGTTTTAAACCTTGTCTGTACGCCATCTTTCCATTCAAGTGTTACCATGTGTATTTCTTATTTGGATGCTCGCCTTGTAAGATTATTCTAGCTCTACGTGGATTTTTTTGGATATCGTAGCCCTATGCCCTCATTCATGAACTTTGATCCTGATCATGCGTGGGACATACACGTTGCTCAGTCTACAAGCATGACCTCAATCAGGAGATTACTGAATTATTTTATTCAGCAATCTCCTGATTGAGGTCAGTTTCTTCTTCTTTTTTTTTTTGAGGGGGGGTATACATGTACCTTTCAGTTATCTACATATATGTACATATGTGCATACCATCTGCGAATCACCAGAGATCAGAATCTTCTACCAAAATACACCGTACTATATTATTAACCCTAACCCTCCTCAGTCCTCCAACAGGTGAAGGATTGAGGAGGGTTAGGGTTAAATATATTATTATTGAAACAAACATGCTGCTAAACATTTTTGTCTGCACTCTACCCAGCTGAGATGAAAGAATGTTAGACACATGCACATCCACATTAGAAATCTAAGGCATCAAGTGTCAAACCTTTCCCCTACCGGCACTGTCCTTATTCATCGTCATCATTGTCATTGATTATTTCTGGTAATGACACCAAGGATTCCTCAAAAGTGCCCTAAGCACCTTAGTTTGCAAGCCTGAAGAAACCTGTAGAGAAAAGACAGTGAGAAGCAGTTAGAGTTTTAGTGGTGGGAAGAAAAACCCCAGAGGAATGTTCTTGTTACACTTCACCGAATCAGGTACATGTACATGTAGGGACTAAAAACCCAATCCACATGTGGACTGGGTCGGGACTTGAACCTGGACTGCAGAGGGGGAAGGCGAGGAAAGAAACACTACACCAATGTCATTCCTTGAAAAATAATGAAAGGCGATTTTGGGGGACAGTTCCATTTCTTTACCTTCCACATATATGTACAGTGTACATGTATGTAAAATGCTCAAAGTTAGCCACACCCCCCAGAAAGCTGACATCAAAACATTAATCCACAAATTTCTTGGCCTGTATGGTACGTATCCTCATTACATGATTGCCTTGAGTTGCTTGGATGATATGGTCTAAGTGATTCTTTTTCTAGGCCGTTTGTTTATGTACATGTATCTTTTCCTTTGCCATGTTTGCAGGGGTTCTGCCATTGCCAGGATTGTCGGCGTGAACGCCAAGGCCCATGCCGACTTTGACAACACTGTCAACATGTGGGTGTTTGAGGAGATGATAGATGGCAAGAAACTGACTGAAATCATCAATGAAACCCACGAGAATGTCAAATACCTCAAAGGCTACAAGATCCCAGAAAATGTTGTAAGTACATATTTAACAAATGAGGTATAACTGATGTACATGTACAATGTACATGTACCAATACAAGGTGAGGAAGAAATGCTATCTAAATGCACTGGTTCTGTGCACAGGTGTAAACAGCAAATTTAGTACTATGAATAAAAATGTTGAAATATTCGAAATGGGATGATTTGAAAAGCAGTTTCATTCTCTGTTGATAAATGAATTCATCACAGATTTTATTTATCGATAAGATCATACACTCTACATAAGACTGGTGTTCACAAATGGATATTATGATACAGAAAAAAAAAGATTTACTTTGAGGGGTGTCCAAAACTTGAAACACCCAATCACCATCGAGGCATGTGCACAGGGCAGAGATTGCTCAGCAGGCTAAAGACTGCTGGAGAGGACTTAACCTTGGACTTTGACATAGTGTATAAGTTGAACTGTTGTTGACATATTGGGCTTGTGTCTGTGGGTCTGGTGAATGTTATCTGGGTTGCCTAGCATTGTGGTCTCCCATAAGCCCAGACTTTGAATGGGATGGGGGGGGGGAATGCACCGAGTGAATGGGGGCAAAGTGGAATCTGTAGGCATCTGGTACCTCTCCTTGGCCACTCACACTCTTTTATTTCTAAAAATATTAAGGCCAGCTTTACATGTACCTCTTTGAAAATTGAAGATCCCCTTGACCCACGGTCTTGCTAAGCAAATTGGAAAATGAGCTACCATACCACAGACTGAGTCACATACATGTACGTGTACAGACTAACATACATGTATGCAGCTAGTACATGAACAAGTAACTCTCAACTAATTGAAATTCCTGCCAAACCTGCCACTTGTACACTCAGTTTACCAAGGACATGTAGAAAATTGAGCCTATTGCAGCTTACATGTACATTACACGTACCATTGATGTCTCACACCAAAACAAATTTAAACCTGCAGTTTCAAAGTAAGCCACTCTACAAAAACATGTACATGTAGTTAGGAGGCCAAGGGCGGTATTTTAGGAGATAATCACCAATTATATGTACATGTACCATGTACATACATGTACATGTACTGGTACATTAAGTACCAAATACATATAAGCACCTGTTCTTATAGTATACATGTAAATACAATATCGCACAGTACACCTTGCTTGTTATTCAAGGGCCATACGGTAATTCACACCCAGCAAAATATTCTGGGGCCGACATGTAGTTTATATTCATGGCAGATGGTATTGCATAGAGACACCGCAAGATAAATCATTCTGTCAATCTACGGTATGCCATGTACATGTGCGTACAAACATGGGCAGTACACCAACTTCCATGTGTACATGCTACACAACAACTAGCAAATGCACCAATCAGCAAACTTGGAATAAATGAGGGCACCCTTTAAATATCCACAGCAGGACCACTAAACGTGTATTACTTGTACTGATACGGGGAAATCAATCTGACCGGTAGGCATATATGGTCTAAATTTATGTACACTTGTACCTGTGGAATGTCTACCATATGCATCAATGTACACTGCATACAGCAAATGGTTGATCCCTATACCAGTTGGTGGCACCTGAATGGGATTTACACGTAAAGATGCGTAGAAAGTGCCCTACATTTACATTGTACAATGTACATTTTTGAATGTGTGTGTGTACAGTGTGTTAAGAAACAACACAGCCCCATTAAAAATCTTTTCTACAATGTAGGTTGTGTGAAAAAAGTCGATTGAATACTTGAGGATTGGGACTTGTCACTTTGTCGGTGTTTATTGCAAAAAAAAAACAGTAATAGGGACTTACTGGTAAGGGAAACTTAGCCATGCTTCCCTGATGGTGTTACGTGTTTGCCATGTCTTGATGCTCTTCACAAGCGGTGCTTCATGTTTGTCTGTGTGAAAGCTGGGTGGAGACCAGAGAATGATTTCCATTAAAAAAAAAAAAATCAATGACCATTTTCAATGTCAAAACAAACGGTTTAATTGCGTTCCTTCCATTGTTGACTAACAGGGGATAACTTTATTAGAGCATGCATGTTCATGTACCGCGTGCATGTACCCGTACATGTAATATGCTTGACTGTTTCATTCCATCTATATGTACGGCCTGCAAACCTGTTCATAAGCATACAGTGTCTTGGGGTGTTGGAGCAGAAATTGCCACACTTTCTAACCAGGGGCGCACTGCCGGTGTGACTGGCTCCCTCTCAGTGTTTTGTGTCTGAAGCTTTATTTTGCCCTCTGTCTGTTGCAGGTGGCAATCCCAGATGTGAAGAAAGCAGTTGAAGGGGCACAGATCCTCATCTTTGTTTTACCTCATCAATTTGTAGAAAGAATCTGCTCGCAGATCAAGGGCTGCGTTGACAAGGATGCAATGGCCATCTCTTTGATTAAGGTACATGTACATTTTATTTTTTATGTAGCCGTCCAATAGACCGTATTCATGGCTTTCCCAATTTCAGTTATATTCCTGAACTTACCGTATAAATTTGAAACCCTTAATGGGATGGTACCAGGTGATTTTGGGGGTGAGAATGAAATCGTAGAATATAGTCTGGTTCTTTGAATTTAACTTTTTCAAATAATACCCTACGTTGGGGAATATGACTGAAATTGGGTCCCCTTGAATAGAGCCTGTAAGATGCTGCTCCAATTTGGAGTGGCATTGTGCATGCCGACTGAGGGTATGTAGTAAGTGGCATGAAGTTACAGTTGAGCGTCTGCCACTGTCTGACCAACTTTGATATTTGTCTGACCAAAAGTAGAAGTGGTTGCACAAAATATCTGAAAGGAAAAAAAGGCCTCAAAGCAGAAGTTTCATGATGCTTTTGTATGTGAGTAATGTTCTTATGATACATGTGCTTAAAACTATGAAAGTGTCTACTCGCTGTCTTATCAAAAGCTGGTTATGGCAGAATAAAATCGATCCTTCTAGTACATGTTTGATTACTGTTTTGGCCTGATGTCACAAATTCTGTAAATGTTTTTATTTTGCCATTTGGGACAGAGGCTGTTTCCCTGTCCTCAGTGGTTAGTCGATTGTCCTCAGTGGTTAGTCGGTTGTCCTCAGTGGTTAGTCGGTTGTCCTCAGTGGTTAGTCGGTTGTCCTCAGTGGTTAGTCGGTTGTCCTCAGTGGTTAGTCAGTTGTCCTCAGTGGTTAGTCGGTTGTCCTCAGTGGTTAGTCGGTTGTCCTCAGTGGTTAGTCGGTTGTCCTCAGTGGTTAGTCGGTTGTCCTCAGAGGTAAGTGGCTGTGCTTATTCTGTCTACCCAGCTTAGTGGTTAGCACAGGTGTATTATTGAAACACAACTCTCCCTTAGTCTTGACCCTGGCAAAAAGGTCAGGTTAAAAAGAGGGGCTGGCACCACATGCTTACGCTTTATTGGTTTAGTTGGTTGCTGAGGCTACATTTTGGGGGATTTTCTGTTTGCAGGGTATGCTAATTAAAGACAAGGGCCTTCAGCTGATCACAGACGTCATCAAATCTCATCTGAACATCGAGGTGAACTGTCTGATGGGTGCCAATCTTGCTCCTGAGGTGGCCGCTGGGTACTTCTGTGAAACAACAATTGGTAGGACATGTTGCAATCCATCAGTCAGTCAATCAGTTTAACAATCATGAGTCAGTCTGTCATGTAGTGCACAATCGTTAGTTCATTCACTGTAGCAGTAGATTAGTTTCTTCATGAGTCATATACATTTACATTTAGTTCATCAGTTATTTGCTCCGCATATGCAGGATGTTAGTAGGTCAGTCCTTTGGCTTCTTGGTAGTGAAATGGTTGGGCGTCGTGCTCCCCGAATGTATTTTATTCAATGTCATCTCTTAAATGAGATGGTACCAGACTGTTTTAGGTTCTTAGCCTCACTTTTAAATGTGGCCTAAAGCATGAAGGTACAATTATTCACAAGTTTAAATTGTTAATCAACGTACATTGGCCTTAAGTTGTTGTAAACTTCTAAGTTCATGCTTTCCTTTTAATCTTAGGTTCCTGAAATGAAACGTTAACTTCCTTTCAGTTGAGTATGGCCAACTTTGGTCAATTGGATTGAAATGCAACTGATCAGTGCTCACTGCTGGTACTTACTGTACATGTATCTACTGTACCTTTCGGCATGTTGTTGGTTAATGTTGTTGGTAGAAAAATGAAATGGATACATGGATACATGGATATACATGCATTTATCAAGAAAAAACAAAGTTCAGGTTTCATTGGACATGCAAATCACATTGCCAGCATTTGAGGGTTCAGAGGCATAATCTTCAATGCAGCTGGTGTTCATTAGAGTAGAGTTTGACCAGGACAGGACTTATGATTACCACCATTATGGTGGTGGTTTGCCCTAACTATCTGCTGGTGGTTATTAAGTATAGGGAGCTCTTTGCCTAGACTTACCCTGTAAAATGCGTATATGATGGGAGTGAGTGCTGTGACAGAGTTTAATGACTGAAGAATGAAGGGAATCAGTCTTCATCATAGGCTCTCTGAAGTATCAGTGGAATGAACAATGGTGTATTTGTGGGTTAAGTCCTCCGTTTGGTTTTTTTCTTAATTTGAATTTCAGTCGAGGTGAAAAGTTTCTTTCAATTGCTCGCTAACGTGTCAGAGAGCTCCACTCACATCCCTGAACTTTTGAGCTTTAGGACCTTTTGCACAATTCAAGCATAAATTGGAAGTTGAATGCCGCTCTCAACATCTCTGAATGTAGTAGGCTTGACCAGATCTGTGTCCTGGCCATTCACAGGTTGTCGGGATCCTGAAGTAGGCAAGGTGCTGAAGAGATTGTTTCAGGCCGACTACTTCCGCATTGTGGTCGTCGAGGATGCCACCACCGTGGAGCTATGCGGAGCTCTCAAGGTAAAGACTTTGCCACAGATTGATGGCTGCAGCGGGCCTCCACTCCATGGGCATAACCCCAGGTCGTGTGCAATATGAAAATGACACTGACTGGCTATTTACAATGAATATTCATGAACATAAAATGAATCACAGGCATGTCTCTAAAGCTACACGCTGGCGCCCACATATTCTCCTGCACGTCACGCACGAGTAAATCTGCCTCACGCATAAACTCATCCACTACAGTCTTAATTTTTAATTTCCCAAATAGTCGGGTATTTAGATTTTACAATATCAGGGGTTAAGATTGTGCAAAGTATGGTGGGCACCAACATGGTGCAGGAAGATTGTACCCGTAGGAACGAGGTTGGGCTTAAGCTGGCAATACCTGTCACATGCCTGCCTATTCAGAGGCTACGGTTTGCCGTTGTGTTGAAGCCATGTGGTTTGATCGTGTGTGCTACTCCTGTTGCGTCCAATGGCTTTTGACATGGTCGAAGTGGTTCTCCCTTACTGACCTTGCGATGTCACTGCTACATGGGCTGTCAGTCACTAGGAACTGAGGGCAAAATGATTTGCTAAACTAACTCATCCAGGGTCCAAAACTCCTCATTCTGATTAGCAGTTTCTACCGAGAGATCCATTTTTATTTACAATTGCTGATATTTGTGTTGTAATCACTAGTTCATATTAATAACCAGAAAGAAATTTTAANCTTCAGGTTTCATTGGACATGCAAATCACATTGCCGGCATTTGAGGGTTCAGAGGCATAATCTTCAGGTTTCATTGGACATGCAAATCACATTGCCGGCATTTGAGGGTTCAGAGGCATAATCTTCAGGTTTCTTTGGACATGCAAATCACATTGCCAGCATTTTAGGGTTCAGAGGCATAATGTTCAATGCAGCTGGTGTTCATTAGAGTAGAGTTTGACCAGGACAGGACTTATGATTACCACCATTATGGTGGTGGTTTGCCCTAACTGTCTGCTGGTGGTTATTAAGTATAGGGAGCTCTTTGCCTAGACTTACCCTGTAAAATGCGTATATGATGGGAGTGAGTGCTGTGACAGAGTTTAATGACTGAAGAATGAAGGGAATCAGTCTTCATCACAGGCTCTCTGAAGTATCAGTGGAATGAACAATGGTGTATTTGTGGGTTAAGTCCTCCGTTTGGTTTTTTTCTTAATTTGAATTTCAGTCGAGGTGAAAAGTTTCTTTCAATTGCTCGCTAACGTGTCAGAGAGCTCCACTCACATCCCTGAACTTTTGAGCTTTAGGACCTTTTGCACAATTCAAGCATAAATTGGAAGTTGAATGCCGCTCTCAACATCTCTGAATGTAGTATGCGTGACCAGATCTGTGTCCTGGCCATTCACAGGTTGTCGGGATCCTGAAGTAGGCAAGGTGCTGAAGAGATTGTTTCAGGCCGACTACTTCCGCATCGTGGTCGTCGAGGATGCCACCACCGTGGAGCTATGCGGAGCTCTCAAGGTAAAGACTTTGCCACAGATTGATGGCTGCAGCCAGCCTCCACTCCATGGGCTAGATGCACGTTCCTTCATAACCCCTGGTCGTGTACAATATGAAAATGACACTGACTGGCTATTTACAATGAATATTCATGAACATAAAATTAATCACAGGCATGTCTCTAAAGCTACACGCTGGCGCCCACATATTCTCCTGCACGTCACGCACGAGTAAATCTGCCTCACGCATAAACTCATCCACTACAGTCTTAATTTTTAATTTCCCAAATAGTCGGGTATTTAGATTTTACAATACCAGGGGTTGAGATTGTGCAGGGTATGGTGGGCACCAACATGGTGCAGCAAGATTGTACCCGTAGGAACGAGGTTGGGCTTAAGCTGGCAATACCTGTCATATGTGTGCCTATTCAGAGGCTACGGTTTGCCGTTGTGTTGAAGCCATGTGGTTTGATTGTGTGTGCTACTCCTGTTGCGTCCAATGGCTTTTGACATGGTCGAAGTGGTTCTCCTTTACTGATCTTAAGATGTCACCGCTACATGGGCTGTCAGTCACTAGGAACTGAGGGCAAAATGATTTGCGAAACTAACTCATCCAGGGTCCAAAACTCCTCATTCTGATTAGCAGTTTCTACCGAGAGATCCATTTTTATTTACAATTGCTGATATTTGTGTTGTAATCACTAGTTCATATTAATAACCAGAAAGAAATTTAAAGCCCAAACCAGGCACTCATGAGATACTGTTACCCAACTTCAGGATTTGTTTTGTTATTTTTGCTGTTATTAACTCAGAATATTGTGGCAGTTGGGGCCGGCATCATTGACGGTCTCGGCTTGGGCGACAACACCAAGGCGGCCATCATCCGGCTGGGACTGATGGAGATGGTGGCCTTCTCCAAGGAATTCTACCACAACACAGAAACGGCCACCTTCCTAGAGAGCTGCGGGGTGGCGGATCTCATCACCACATGCTACGGGGGACGGAATCGACGGGTAGCCGAGGCTTTTGTCAAAACTGGAAAGGTACATGTGTAATAATCAAGCATGAGGACGCCATCTCAAGAATTAAAGTGAACTTTGATAAGGTCAACAGTTTTATTATTTTCTTGCCAACAGTGGTAAACAACAGCATAAATATATAAGGCCAAACAAAAATTTTTTTGTGTTTCCTATTACCATGAAACATAAATTAGGGTGGTTGGTTGGGTAAAATATTTCTTTTACGCTAACTTTTTTTTTTTGGCCCAAAAAATTAGGGTCGGATGATGGGTTTTTTTTGGGGGGGGGGCGTATATGTGTAAAAGGCATTCAGTCAGTGTCAGATTCATACTGTACATGTGCACGTCAATATTACATATCAGCACCGTGGTTGAGTAGGAAAGCAGCTGGTTGTTGAAATATAAACACACAAGAGACGTCCGTCTCATGCCAAAAAAAAATTAAAACAATACAATGTATAGGACGATGTACACAAAATTAGGCTTGGGGCAAGACACCATAAGTTTCTATATTTTATTGGTTTGTCAAATAAAAAGATAAAAGTGCCGGGTGATTTTCTAGCTTGGGTCGGGTAACCGGAAACACGGCTTTTTTTTGTTTGGCCTAATGCACTGTTTTTGGATTTTAAATTATCCATTATTTTGATATCTACATTTAGAAATGTATAGAATTTAGCCATTACCATGTGGAATGAAGGGTCTTGACTAAGGGTTCTTTTCAAAAATAATCTCATGTACTTGCTGCCAGTGTTTGCAAAAACCGAGCCATTGCTGAGGGGCAGTGAATCTGCAAACTCTTCATTCGTAACTCACTCATACACGGTCAAGTTAAAGAGTCAGTCCTGTCTCATACGCTTTTTGTTATTTTAAGGTGTCTACTAAATAATGACTAGGATTGAATGTCTTGTTTGTTATAAAGGTCATTTTTCTACCACAGAGGTTCCTATAACTCAGGGTTGTTTCTTTTTTCAAATCATTAGTCCATTGAAGAGCTTGAAAAGGAGATGCTGAATGGGCAGAAACTACAAGGTCCTCAAACTGCCCAGGAGGTTCACGTGATGCTGGAGAATAAAAACATGACAGCCAGGTAAGGAGCAGTTCAGTCAAAGGCTTTGGCTAGAAATATGACGTATCAGTGGCAGATGGCCAGAGCTGTAGCCTCTAATGGACAGTAACGGCTAGGACTCGGGGCGAATGTGAATAAGGTAGTTCAGTAAGGTGTCCAAACTGAAGTCATCCAAGAACAGCAACATGTGCGAGGTCAGCCTGATGAGCAGTATCAGCAGGGCAGTTCTCACACTGAGCCATGTCTGAGCTTTGCCTCTTTGAAAATACCAAACTGGTTCACTGGAGGTATTGTGGCTACAGCTTTGCTGTCTGCAATTAATGGGCTGCAGTTGATGGCCACAGCCAAAGCCGTTGCCAACAACATCCATTCACGGTATTTGTCTTATCCTTACTTGGTGTCATGCATAATGCCTCCGTTTCCGTGCCAGTTACAGTGAATGGGTTTTTGCACATCTTGGAAATGCACTATTTTATCAGCTGGCTGAAATTTTTGCAAATCTAAGACCTGCAGGCAAGCTCGTTCCATTTTAGAATATATGACGAACTGCTCTCAGCATAAAGGAATGTATTATAAGATAGTATAGTGGAATTCTACCGGAAATTAAGCACTGTTATTTTAACACTCGTTTTTTTTACATCAAACCACAACAAAAGTATTTATAATGCACACTGTGAATCCTAGGATATTGTGGATGCTTCCACGACAAGTTTATACAGATGGATTAGCAAGCATAAATAACACTCTCTAATAACTAATACTACACATACGTGTATGGGTCATTTAGAATAATATGGTACCTTTGTGGATGTAATATTTCATGTAATATTGTGGCCAGTTGAAGGAATAACGAGCAGAGATTTGAGATTTGCCACAAACCCAAAATTTGTTTCATTTAATAATGTTTCAACTGTGTAGCTGTCTAAATGCACAAAGCTATGCAGCTCTCTACACCACTTCCTACATATAAAAACTGTTTTGACCGCTCTTCCGCCCAAGCAACATTCAAACCAATAGCCCTCCTATAATTTGGACTGAAGAAATCCTTCACTTAATCGGTTCACTTGTGTAGACTGCTGGAGAAGGAGGGCTGATGAGAAGGTGAACAGGTGCAGAACTTTAATCACGAAAGCAAAACGTGTTTTTATCCAGAGGTGGTCTCATGTAACGTCTTTGTTTGGACCCATCTTTGCCTATGTCACAGTTACCCACTGTTCACAGCAATCTACGACATCTGCTTCAGTGATCTCCCTGCCAAAAATCTCATCAGCTGTTTGAACAACCACCCGGTACACATGTAAGTCATGTGACCATAACAGTCATGTGACCACAGAGTAAGACGACCATGCAGTCACATGACCAGGACGTCACCACTGTTGCAGCGTGTTACCTTTGCGGCCGTGGGTACGTGGATGCATTGCACTGGACAATGCTGTGAGATGCAGCACGTGCACATATGTGGGAATTGTTAAAGATTTACGCTGATCATGTACTGGAGCTATACTATTACCACACCTCCTACTCTGACATCTGAGCACAGCCGTGAATAATTTCTTTCAATACGAGTATTTTTACATTTAGAAATAACATAGATGGATCCTGGCACTGAGCCACTCATCTTAAAATCTTGTTCACTATTCACTCTCATTTGTCTAACGACAAACTTGCTTCTATAATGTAGCTTAATAACAACATGATTAAGGTCCCCCTAGAATGGAGGCATCACTAATGCAGTCCAGTTTTCTATGCATTTCTTCAAAGTGCACCAGCAGTGTAGATGTGTACAAAGCAGTTCGTACTGGAAGTGTTTTAGCATGTTGAGAGAAGGGAAGGATTGCGTGGACATTTCTTTGGAGTCGTAGCGGAGCAGAGAGTTTTCTTAAAGTGTGTCTTATTTTACTGAAAGATTTCAGAGTTTTGTTCATGCAACTCCAAATGATGTGATGATTTTGTTCATAAATTTGATGTTGTTGACACTGCCCTTCCCAAGGTAAGTTCCTGGAAGCAAGCAGTGACAGTTCTTGTGGAATGGACCTTTTAATCAAACTCAAACGAGAAAATTTAGTAGCTGCTGGTTGTTCAGATTGTGACAAGCTCAAAACTTGTTGGACAACATTTGTACCCCAAATGCCTCATTTGGTATTTTTTAGGAATTTAATAGTTTTAGGTCTTGTAAAATAGGTAATTTTAATTGTTTTGTTTTGGGAAAAATGTTTTGCAAATTAACCTTTTTTTAACTTGTGTTAACTCCTCTTTTTTTATTTTAACAATATACCACATTGTAATTGAAAGTTAACCTGGGAATGGGAAATTCTCTTTTCAATTTTTTTCCTGACAGGGAAGTTGTTTTTATTTCTCAAAATGTGAAATAAATCTTCCCACAGAGTGAACAGATTTTTTACACCTTTTCACATGTGTGAAAAGATTTTCAGACTTTTTCACAAGAGTCAAATATTCTGATACTTTTTCATGGAAGTGGGAAAATACTCTCCCTTTTCACACGAGTGGGTAAGCACTTTTATGCCTTGTGAAGTCCAAATGTAAATAATGAATTCTTTTAACAAAATTCCCCAGTCCCATTCACAGTGCTAACTTTCAGTTGCAATGTGCCGATTATGAGATTGTGTATTTCTGGGTCTCAATATCATCACTCTTGTTCCCTTGTGCATGGTTAGTTTTGGCTAAGGCTCACTGTAGGATGGGTGCAGCTCTTGTCCAGTATTCAAACTTGTAAGTGGGAAGCAGGAATGGAGATCAGTCCTGATCAACCTCAACTGACCAGTTATTACAAGCAGTCATAAGAGTATCTCACAGACAATAAAATAAAAGACAATAGAATGATATAGTTGCTATACACACATTGGGACATAGCCCCATGACATCACCTCTGTGCTCATGAATATGGTAATGACATTAGCACTGAAGAAACATTTCCTTGCAAACAAGCTTGCATTGACCCCCCCTGCCCCAGAATTCAATTTTAAGAAGCCGAGGGTGAATAAGCAACATTGACAAATCGAGTCAGAGGTGCCCAACAATGCTACTACGTTTACTTAAGAAAGATGATTTGCAGTGGAGGCTCCCAACGATAATAACGAATTGCGGTGAAATGTTGAGTGTAAATTTGATGGCTGAAGGTTTGTTTTCCAAAGTGTATAACTGAACTTTTGTGATAAATGTTAAGTTGAACTGCCGTAATTTTTTTCCAAAAAGTGCTTATCGAGTCACCACTTTTTTCAGAAGTTTGCATGTTGTCAAGAACAGGATGTGACGTCATAAGAAGACATACAAACGAGATTGAGATCTTCCATTGCCGTGTCAAGCAATTGGTGCCCGTGTTATTCTGTAAACCAAGAAACTGGTCAACCAATTCGCTTATGCATGTATATGTACTTTCAATTTGCTCAGCACGTCTTGTCTGACTTTCATTTTTCCTCATGTTCACAAAGTGTATCCCTTTCGATGGTTAATCTCCTCGTTAAATGCTGAGTCAATTACATGTGCTTGGATTTTATTTTGAAGCTTCAGGATGAGTCGCTTTCAGCTATAAGGTTTTTTGACCACATCTTTGTTTTTGCAGATTTTGGATCAGTGCTTATCATAATTTGCCTTCGCAAAAGCCTTATGATTATTGCAGTGTCAGTGTTGAAAATACTTGTAATTTTGGAATTTCCCATTTACCGCATCACTACACATCGTGAAAAGTGTCAGAATCATCGATCTGTAGCCAGTTCTCTTTTAGGGAACATTTTGTTCCCTAAAATACCAAAAGTATGGCGTCTCATAGCTTTAGACATGCAGGCCGTTTTTCCCACAAATGTAGAAATGATTTTTAAAGACCCCATTTTGCAATGACAATAGTCGAATAGATCAAGTTTTTAACAGTCGGATGTAGCCGTGCCGCTGAAAGCATGGTGTGGAAAAGGAGTTTGGATCCTTTCTCTGGGACGATTTCCAGTGAAATGGGGTAACAATGGGGTAGTGTTTGAAGTAACAGCCATCTTCAGGAACGTAACCGCCATCTTCAGGAACGTAGCCGCCATCTTCAGGAACGTAACCTGGTATTTTAACACGCTCGGGTGTATGTGGTGGTGGGTACATGTAAGATAGTCAGCTTTCAAACATCGAAGGCTCTCTTTAGTTTGGAGTGGACAGCCACAAGTCATAAACAGAACCTTTAGCGAAAACTGTGGTGTTTCCCAATATAGAATCTAAGATTGCTAAATCAACACCGGTGTAACACCTGGGTTTTTGCTGTGTACAATCGTGTGTGATTTCATTTTCCTAACAGGTTCATGTATGAGTGATTGGTGCAAATTTGTGACAGATGCACTTGACTTTATGGAGCTCGTGGTGTGGGAATGGAACACATTATGCTTTTATTTTTTCGTTTTTGTGGAATTTAGTTTTTAAAAAGTACATCTGAAAGAAAAGTCATTGACGTCATTTCATGAGAATCCTCTGATAAAAGGTATTTCTGATTGCCAAATTCTGTTGATAATGATATAATTCTCGAGGAAATGAGTTTTGTTATGTACATCTAGATGGTGCATTTGTCATGACACGCACAAATTGGATTCGTGTGTACAGTAAATATCGATCATAGAGACTTTGTACGAATGAATGCATGCCAACAATGAATAAAAGACAGTTTTATTAATAACTTTGTCTCCCTTTGTTTTTTATTTTTAGACTGAACGTTTTAGAAGTCAGAATTTTGGAAAGGTCAGTTGCTTCCTTCAGTAAGGCGTAGAAATGGTTGTAAAGAGATCTTGTGAGACAAGCAAAATGTGTGAATTATTTTTAGGCAGGTTTGACTTATGTACAGTGCGTAAAAAATGAAATATATTTTCTTCATAATTATTTGGCTCCAAGGATACGAAGTGAGTGCTTTTGTCATGCCAACAAATAGTGCTACATTGACAAAGTGATTTATAATATATACTTTTGTTTCGATAGAAAATTCACATTTATCACCGTGGAAACGTTCAACTGCATAAGATTTTTAATTTAAGATTTAAAGTTAACTTAATAGTTTGTGGTGTTCCAGTTTAATTTATTACTTGTCATTTTTGTACTTACTACATCTAGATTTTGAACCACGGTACGTCTTGCACTGCAGTAGGGAGGCTAGATCTCTTTCACAGGACGAAGTTATACCTAAGTAGACCTACTTTAGTGTCGTGTCATTATTTTTCCATCAAGGACGCGCTCATTCCAAATTTTAAATGGCGTATCATTGTCATTTGGGTTGTGTCGCCCGAGTGGTATTTTAGAGGGTTCAACATTATGCTGCTGTCTCTACCGTTTCACTGCGCACTGTTGGATCTGGCAGGATGCTTACTTGGTTGTTGCGACACCTGCACGTGCTAGATACCAATTCCCTGACTTGTTTCTGGAAGCGATCGTACGCGAAGCAGTAGATGAACGGATTGATGCACATGTTTAGTAGGACGGTGGCTCCCGTAGCCTGGGTGAGCGTGCCGTCGTACGAGTCCACGTGCAGTCCCAGATTGAATAAGGTGTAGTTGACATTGTTTGGGATCCAGCAAAGTGCGAAAAATATCGCCACCACAATTAGGGTCTTGGTGACGTTCTTGTTGGCTTTGGACATCATGTTTTGAGCTTCGTTATTGTTATTCCTCATCCTGGCATTTGAGCGCTTACGGAGCTCTAAGATGACTTTGCTGTAAGAAAATACCATGACACTAAGCGGAATAACAAGTTCATACACGAGAATAATCACTCCACCGACGGCCTGGACCGTAGGGCTTGGCCAGGAAATGTCGCAAGAGTTCTTGCTGTGATGTGAGATCGGCACTAGGTGGGCCTCAGGTAGCCAGCCACATAACCAAACAGCAAGAACGACGGACTTCAGACAGTAAGAAGATAACATATTACGATGTTTAACGGGATGGCAGACGGCAAAATATCGCTCCACCGATATAGCAACCGTGTTGTATGTAGAAGTGACGAACATACCGTAGATGGGCCACTCAGACCACCAGAGCTTGCAGTAGAGCGAACCGGCCGCGTTATCGGTTACCGGGGATGACACTTCAAGAACTCGACGGACAAAAAACACCAACGACGCCACCAAATCCACTGCGGATTGATGCAGGATGAGCTTATTGGTCGTGGAGCTGAAAACTGTGCGATAACGCAGCATAACCAGGCAGACGAAAGCGTTTCCTAGCAAGCCCCAGTGTACTCAATATGGTATATGCGTAGAAAGCAGCTTTTCTGCTAGAATCGTCGGCCGACACATCGAGGCTCAGATTTTCAAGAGTAGATGCCTCCATTGCCCAGAAGGTATTGAAAAATTGTCTTAGTTCAGTGTAGCTCAATATATCAGTTACACGTTAAATTTGCAGTTTCTCGAGAAAGCAGTTACAATTTCCCGGCCTGGGAGAATGCAAGAAAAGTGTTGCATGGTGCAGTTTCTTTCTTCAACAAGGCCTGCAAGGATTGGCGGTCTTGTTTGTGTCAGTCGTCCCGAAGTGGAATACCGAAACCTTTCAGAGGGTTTTTATCCGCCAAATCAGTGGTCGTGTGATCCACACATGATGTTGTTGGATCACGTCCTTATACTTAAAATGCAGTAATCTTTAAGACGATTGGGCACCTCACGGTCACAACGTACGTGACTGTAAGTGTACATTTTCCGGTTTTCCACGTAATTACAGGCTATATGCACACCCCTTGGGGGAAAGCTCGGTTCTTCAAAATGTCCTTGGCTTTCTTTTTGAATAGAAGTAGTAATCAATACTAACTCCGTAGAGATAGTTCAAGAGGCAAAGCTATTTAAGGACAACTAAGGCTCAGGTTTTTAAAAATGCCCTTTGATATGTTTAGAAAAATCGGCGGGGTGTTTTTATATTTGTCAGAATGGTATTTTTTGTTTAATTCTATTTTAAATGGGTATTGGAATGTTTTAGAGTTTTTTGCTTCGCAGGAATTCCGATGATCGATTTTATACGTAAATGTTGTAAACTATATACATGTATGTGTGTTATTTGAACTGCTAAAGACCGTTTTAATTTCCCCAGTTGGGATATTAAAGTTTTTATCCATCAACATGAAGACTGCGCTCATTGGCCATCAGTTATCAGCCACGACGCGACGGTCGTTTCTTCGAGATTGTGATAGGACAACAGCTTTTTGTCGGTAAAAAAATAAACAGGCGGTAAATATCATACAGGGAGGCGAATCTCATTGGCCGTAAACTTGTCGAGATGGTGGAGGGTGGGTTCAGTGCGTTCGATAACCCCTCACCTAAACCCCCGGCCCGTTCCTTTCCTTCAGACTGAAACATCTCGATGATCATGTGGCATCCGGCGTTCTGCTTGGCTATTCTCTCCACACCTCACCGCCTGCAGCCACTGACATAAGCCCACTTCATTGTCGGAATCCCCGCAGTCTCCTGCATGACAGACTGAGTATACGGTCCAAAACATGGAGTACACCCTGCAGATCTTTTCGGTACTACAAAAGAGATATTTAACATGGTGCTGCCGCAACTTACATGTACTAATTAGCCTACTTAATAAGATGTTGGAAGGTGCCAGGTGAGTGAAACATTCCAAGCTATTTTTAATTCACATATTGCAGTCGAGTGATTGTTAGATCAAAGTACATGCAGTCGGTATCCTTCGAACCACTTCCCTGACCTGTTTCGAGAAACGCTTATTATATACGTGCAACGATTATTATGTAGCCTACGTGAAGCAGCAGACGATGGGATTGATGCAAAGGCTGTTAGGCCTAACCACTGCATTACCCTTCGCTTTATCAAAAAGGCTGTCACTAGGTGAATACCACGCCAACCCAAATGGCACCAAACGTCGGTAAAACCAAGACGCAAACTGCAACGCAGACAAATGGAAACATGACAAACGGAAGGGTCACCGATAACGCAAACCAGCACCAGACGGATCCGACTGTCTGCGCCAAGTCGCTGAGTAGGCCTGTACAAACACACACACTGGCATGACGGGCGAACAACGATGTTTCTCTCGCTTAGTACAACTCATATTGTCCTTTTTCTCCTTATTACTCGTAAGCAGCCCCAATCGTCAACAAAATAGCTGACCATTAACAAATTACATCAAACAAGAGTACCAGTTTGGCTTCAAGAGGAAACATTACCATCTAAAAAAGGCATTTTGGCGAAAATTGTTTGGAGTTTCGGGCGCCATTTTTTTTTATTGGGTGGAATGACGTCACGCGGCGTCTCTTCCGCGACTGTCTGCGTCTTGACGTCTTGCGGACCGTCTGCGTTACAAATGACCAGGCTTTACGCGTACCCAGCGTGCTCCGCGTCAAACGCGCATAATCTTGCGCGCTTACCCGGTGAGTTGGTGCCAAAAGGACTATCAATTTCATTTAAAAACGCGCCCTCTTTTGTTCCACTCAGAGCGGATTATGGTGGAAAAGGACCAGTTTGTCTGCCGGCACAAGGCGTCTCACAGTCTCCCATTGGGATGACAAGTTCCTGGAAAAAAACTTGGACACCTTACAGACGAGAATGATCATTCTCCCGACACCATTCTCATTAAATGGACCGGAATTCAACCAAACAGCCAATCATGCCGACCTGAGCTGGTTAGATGTTTTCCAATTTGAATAAGAACAGACACTACAACTTGCGTGCGAAGCACTTAGATTTTTTTCTACTATTTTTTTACGTCACTGTGCACTTTCCATGACAATGTAGTACATGCTAATCAGACACTTTTCTTGAGGCCATTTTCCTCAATGACTGGATAGATTCGATTACAGAGCCATGCACTTTTTGTTATCAGTTTAGCATAGGCTAACAGTAAAGAGCTGCATGTTTACCGAAGTTCATTGTCTTTGTTCACTTCTCTCGTGAAGCAGCTCAGGAAATGATGGATGCTCGCATTTTACCAAAAACGTACGTCTAATGGTCTAGGCAGCCACGTACTATGGAGACAGTTCAATGTGTGGTAATCAAACATGAGAGTATGGTGCTGTGACTTTTGGTGGAAGTGAAAACAGCACAAAAACAAAGACAAATAAACAAATAACAGACTTTGCATGAAATATTCTCGCCTCTAATCGTGTAATGAATGCTCCGCTTAATGCGCAACCCTATATGTTGTCTGTTGTGGAGAATGGTACACATGATAATGAAAAGTTTTTCATATTCAGTAAATTTATAAGCAGTGAAGATAGACGTGTATGATACATGTATTTTCTAATTATTGTAATCATTTAAACATGGCGCTGTCATATCCGCGACAGTGTTTGATTCTACTTGTTATTCATCATTTCATCTAAAAAGAATCGAAATATATACCCATTTTCTGCCACACAAGGTTCAAATGCTTGTAAGTTATTTATGCAGTACTTTATGTTTAAGATTTTCAGGATCACTTATTTTGAAGTTAATGAATTTGGATCTCGCTGTAGGTGTGCTGCAGGTGTTCAAATTTTCTACCACTCCTACGATTTTTTCTGTGTTGATGTTTATGTCTTGCGTCAACATCTCCTGTATTGTTTATATAATATAGTATATAGCTATTCGTTTATTATATCTACATTTTGAGCCATTGCAGGAAGTTCTAGCTCTGCGGTAGGGAATGGTGTCGAAGAGCTCTTATACAACCAAAAGTCACACGCAGCCCGTAATCAATAGACCTACTTCAGTTTGGACTCAAAAATATTTCGCAATTGTAACTTACTTAAGTAAGCCATAAGTGGTAACGACATCCTCATTGTCCCTCGTGTTTTATCAACTGAGTAGTATAATGAACGATTCAACATTATTCTGTTCTCCGCTGTTTACGTGTGCGTTGTTGAATTCAATGGGTTATGTACCTGGTTGGTGCGACGCCTTTGCGTACCACACACAGTCTTCCTGGCTGGTTCCATGCAGCAACCATACGCGAAGTAGCAGATGAACGGACTGATGCACGTTTTTACAAGGACAATGGCTCTTGTAACTTGGGTGAACATGCCGTCGTACGAGTTCTCGTGCACTCCCAGATTGAATATGTTGTAGTTGACATTGTTTGGGATCCGGCAAATTGCGAAGAGGACGTGGCCACCACGATTTGGGTCTTTGGGACGTTTGTTGGCTTCGGCCACACAGCATGTTTTAAGTGCAATCGTTGCCGCAGATCTTGCCTTTAGAATACCCACACCAAGCTCCAAGACGATGTTGCTGTATGCAAAGATCATCATAACATGCGGGATAACAAGTTCTTGGACAAAGGAGATCAGTTCCCCTTACGACCCATCTCGTTGGACTGGGCCATGAAATGTTTAATAGGGTATAATTCTTGCTCTTATGAGATTGCACGAGGTGAACATCAGTTAGGCCTACACGCATTCAGTGAAATTTAATTTGACGCCTAATTGTCAGTGGACGTCACAACTTCCACAAAGCTAATTGAAACATGCCGCAGCTCTAAAAAGGTAGCAGTCCCTGTCACAGTAACTCGACTACAACGGCGTTGCTAATGTTACTGCGTCGATATTGTACGCTGCCACTATGAAAACGTGCATTGTATAGCAAACTACATATGTCGGTACAATGTAATTGTTGGGTCAGCATTTAGGCTATTGTCTGCACCATTCCAGTGCGTGCTGTGCGGGAGTCATTCGAGTTGTCCACCTGATTGTTGCAGCGTCGACACTCATCACGAAACATCTTCCTGGCTTGTGTCCGGAAACGATCATAGGTGAAGCAGTAGATGATTGGGTTGACACAAAGGTTGGCAACCACTGCAGCACCCGTCACCTGATCCAAAAAACTGCCAAATGAATAACCGTGCCAACCAAAATTGTAAAACAGGTAGGTAAAGCCACCCGGTGTCCAACAGCAGGTAAAGAAGATAGCAACAACGATCAGCGTCTTGGTGATGTTCTTGTTGGCTTTGGAGAAGATGTTTGAAGGATTGTTATTACTGCTGCTGTTATTGATTCTGACTTTAGAGCGACGACGGAGCTCTAGGATGATTTTAGTGTAAGCAAAGATGATGGCGACCAGTGGAAGGAAAATTTCGAAAAGAAAGATCACCACACCTGTAACGGCTTGGACCACGGGGCTTGGCCACAAGTCATGACATGCGCCGTCTCTTTGAAAGACGTTGAGGACAAGATGGAACTCAAGCGCCACACCGCAAATCCAGGCAGTGGCCATGATGAGATTGAGCCGACGGCGCGTCAACATGTTGCGGTGGCGGATGGGATGACAGGTTGCAAGGTATCGCTCCATAGATATCGCAAGTAGGTTGTAAGTGGATGCGACAAAGCAAGCCCACTGGTACCACTCGGACCACCACATCGTGCAGTACAGCGTACCAATCGCATTATCCGGCGGTGATGTCTTTAGCGATTTCTGTAGAATAAACATACACGACCCAAGGAAATCGACAGCGGATTGATGAAAAATGAGCCTGTTGGTCGTGGAATTGAAAACATTACGGTATCGCAGCATCACCAGACAGACGAAAGCGTTACCAATCAGCCCCAGTGCACTCAGTACGATGTACACGTAGAAAGAAGCTGCATTGTCAGGAGAGTCGAAAACGTCGACAGTTTCAACTGTAGTTACCTCCATTTTGCTCCCACAGAGTCTTCAGTTTCACTGCCTTGAACACCTTAGCAGGGCATTGTCGGGTGTAGAGGTGCTTATAAGGCTTCTGGTAAATAAGCACAGACACTTCAAAGCATTGAGATCATTCTTTTCCTTTGACATTAATGACGTCACTGCGTACTTTCTGTATTAAAGTCATGTTCATTCCTGGGACAAATTTAATTTCTGATTCTCGAGTCCCTTTTGAAAAAAAAATTGAATTAAAAAAACCGCAGCTAGATGTATTTTTTTGAGTCAACAAAAGACATCTGGGTTTACATTTGAGAAACAAAAAGGCATTATACTGAAGCCCATACATACCATCCTGTAAGGAAAGTGCAGGAGCTATATCAACACTCTTGTTTAGCCAGAGACCGGCGCCTTGAGGAGACTTGATCGTTGAATTGAAAGTACAAGAACGTCAGTACGTTGCAGGGACAGCAACTTCAGAGAAAATAGCGATGGAAAAACAACGGTCTTAATGCAAACATTTTTGTTTTCTCTTCGCACCGTTTTTGCGCGGCCACCCTGAAACTTTTGAAAGTTTGCACAGATTGATCACAGTCTGATAACAGACAGTTTATCGTCAGGAAACTGGCCAATAGTACCCGACTTCATAAGAATAGCAACAGGTGTCTCGTTTCTATTCACAGATCTATTTCACTCTGTTCTGTTCCATGCAAAATCCTGGAGCACTTTATATCTATAAACTACTTGATTTCCGAAAACACAGTATGGCTTTCAACCCGAACGATCATGTGTATTACAGCTGACTTCTCTTTCCACATTAGGGCGAGTGCCTTCTCCAAGTCCACCCCAAGCAAATGCTATCTGTTTTGATTAGTCAAAAGCCAAATTGACCGACTGACCAACCGATTCTTTTATAGAACGGTTGCATGAATGTGGCATTGTGCACGTGGCGCCATCCTTTGCTAGATGCGTTCTTTTCACTCTTTTACCGTAAAAACATGGATGTTCCGTTTTCAGGCGCTGGGCTCCTGTTGCCATATGGGTGTCCTACAGGGCCCTGTTCTGGCCTAAGACCTGTTTTGTTTAACTGCGAAACTGTCAAATATAAATCTCCGCTTCTCCAGTTTGCCGACGATACTGTTTTGTAAAGAGTTATCACATACGATTGTTTGATATTTACCAGACGATGTTAACATTTTTTCTAGATGATGTAAGCAAAACGTCATGTAACTCAACCATCAGAAAGTCATACACGTCGCACGAGATAAGCAAAGTAGGGCCTAATATACACACACAGAGCAGTTTTGGGGGAAGTAGCCAGATTACTGGTCCTGACGTGTCGGTCAGCTTATGGATCTGGATCTGGGCTCTAAATGAGCATCACTCAGAACGGAACTGGGGAGTTGTTCATTCCAGCTGTAGATTGTTTTGTGCTGTTTTGACGCTAGATAACTTCTCCATAGAAGTCATGTGTTTTGGCAGCTTGTTCCAATCTCTTGCCATCTTAGGAAAGAGTGAATGAAGATAGGATTGTGACACAGACTGTGGGATGGCAAGTTGATTGTCTTGCAGCAGCTAGTGTTCATTCGTATGCGAGATGATGGAGGTTCTTGCAAGTCAAGGAAATCTTTTTTTTTCCGAGGACACAAAAATTTTTCCTATTAAGGCTGAGCACTCACCCCCAAATATTCACCAGCTCTTAAGGGCTTCCGTAGTCAATTCTATGCTTTTGATTTTAACCCTAAGGGAAGGGCAGTCGGCCTGGGAAAAAGGAGATAAAAAATACCCGGCGGCATAAATAAGATTTTCCTCGATCAGAGCCAAAAATTAGGGATCAGAAATAGGAACCATACATAACGAACTACAGACGCCATAAGATCTGGTTTGGAGCTCATTCGGTGATAGGCAACTGTTTTCCAGTCACCCAGTGGTCTGATGTCAGTTAATCAACGGTGTCCACCTGGTTGTTAGGGTGCCTGCAACACAACGAACCATCCTCCAAGCGTGCGTTTGAAAGCGATCGTACACGAAGCAGTAGATGAAAGGATTGATGCACAGGTTCACCAGGACGATGGCGCCGGCAGCTTGTTAGAACACGCTGTCGAGGGAGTTATCGTTTAGCCCGGAGTGGAACAAGATGTAACTGACGTCAGTTGGCTCCCAGCAAATCGCGAAGAAGACAGCCATCACGAACAGCGTCTTGGTGACGTTCTTGTTGGCTTTGGACAGCATGTTGTTCTGAGCGTCATTGTTGTCGCCCACCCTGGCCTTGGAGCACTTGTACAGCTCCAAAATGATCTTGGTGTAGGCGAAGATCATGATGACGAGCGGAACAACAAACTCCCAGACGGCAATGGCAACCCCGCTCACAGCTTGTACCGCAGGGCTGGGCCAGGATGCCTCACAGGAATCATTGGCCTGGTAGGAGATGGGTACAAGATGAGCCTCGGGCAGCCAGCCGCACAGCCAGACAGCAACCATTAGAACCTTCAGCCGTTTGGGCGTCAACTTGTTACGGTGGATGACCGGCTGACAAGTTGCCAAGTATCGCTCCATGGATATGGCCACCAGGTTGTAGGCGGACGTCACATACAGAGACCACTGGGGCCACTCAGACCATCACAGCATGCAGTAGAGCGAACCAATCGCATTGTCGGGTACGGCGGATGCCACAAGAAATCGACGGAGAATGTAAACAAAAGCTGCCGAGAAATCCACAATGGACTGATGCAGAATGAGCTTGTTGGTTGAGGAGTGGAAAACTTTGCGATGTCGCAGCATAATTAGGCAGACAAAAGCGTTACCAATCACTCCAAGTGTACTCAATATGATATATACGTAGAAAGTGGCCTTATCGCCAGCATTGCCGTCTGACTGCTGATTTGCCGATGTAACTGCAGGTACCTCCATGGATTGGCAACGTTGCTAAAGTGTATCAGTCTAATTGTCAGAAAGGAAAAAGCAACCGCAATCTATGCACGAAGGCACGAACATACGTCTTCGTGTCTCCCAGCAAATACCCCAGTCTACTGACTATTAAAGGTAGGCCTATTCCGAAAAAAAACCAACTGTCCGATCGCTTGACTCTTCAAATTTTATTTTCTGACCAAAGCAGCTCACGAGGTGCTATGCACGTGCTCAATTCATAGCGGGACAGATGCAAGAAGACAGGCTCGTGGAGGATAAACTTTTACCGATGATTATTTCCATGGTAACGTGGGATCTGATGACGCCCACTTTCACGTGGCACAGAGGACTGCCTTCTAAGGGGCCCGCCAGCGCTGATGCGCATAAAACCTCAGGGATGGTTGGCACACAAACGAACAGCAACAGAGCATTTGAATATGGCGAAATTCGTTCAAGTTGAAATCTTTTCATTTCATCAAACCATGCCGTGCTGAGCTGACATAAATTACGGCACGAGTTACAATCGCTTTCGCACTAAGGCGCCCCCTTTTAATTCTATGTTGCTTGTATCTAATTGGGCTCGGAGGAAGGTTGGTTGGTGGATACAATCATTGAGTATGAAGGTAAAGGGTAATCGTAATATTTATATGGCTAAATATGATGATGACATATGTATGTCTGACTTATTTTTTATTATCTTGTGTTTAGGTGAGTTAAAAAAAACCTTCATGGGCCACTTCTACATAAGTTAAACAAAATGAAGAAAGTTTGTCCCCATGTACCATCGAATAACGCTTGCCTAAAGAGGCATACTAAATGAAAATTTTCCGATGTTCGGACGCCATTTTGTGTAATATTTTTGGTGGAATGACGTCACGCAGCATGTATGTCGCGACCGTCTGCGTCTTGACGTCTTGCGTGCCGTTGGCGTTCGTTACGACCATATGGAAACCAGGCTTCTTTACTCAATCGCATGAAGTTCAGAATATCACTCGCTTCTTTTATCCCGGGTCCGCCCAAATTCGTCGAACATTTTTGACCTCCCTTGCTGTGTTTTAAGCACAAATTACAATACCACGAATCCATCCCTCTTTGCAACAACCATCAGGATGAACAGCATATCGTTATTTAAATTCTTCTGGGTGGAGATCCTGTTTATTTTATCATAGCATGACATTTTTTTACGGGAAAGACGTCGACAAGTCAGATGGCACTTCAAGAACTCTGCAGAAGTGTACATTGTAAATCGTGTTTAGTTGGTTGAGCCCTCTAAGTTTCTAATTATCTTGAACGTCACGTATTCCACATAGGCCAATGCGGACGATGTATTTTTTAAAATGCTAGTATTATCGATAAATGACGTAAAAATACTACCCACACGCTTGTATCTATAAAAGGGTCACTTGTTTTTATTTCTAGGAGTCATATACACGTATTATATTACTAAAATTTATACACAAAAATTACACACGATGCACACACGTTCATATCACAAATTGTTTGACACTTGGGAACGAAGTGAACCTCGACTATCCAAAAAATGGGCAATATGACAAGGGTCTGGTTCTATTGTAAATTAACGAAAAATATATACCATCAGGTTTACACACTATAAGAAATATGATTACATGTACATGTATGTGTAAGTCACAGCCTTTTTATAACGATGTATTCAACTACATTGTATGTAAAATCATATTGCTTGAGTTGATGACTAGTACATGCACTACGATTAACTGAGCGTTGACCTACATGTATGAACTCGCGTAGCAGTATACACATTCTCATTTTGTGAGTCCTATACCATGCGCTACTGAAATTGTGATTCACATCAATTGAAATGCAGTTCCACCTTCAACCAGTGATGATGCGATGAAATGGAAATCATGTCCTTTTGTGAAGATCTGTGACATGTCTTGAGTGAATATTCAGGTAACTTGATAAGATATTAATTTGGGGGCCCGTGGAGACTTTGGCTTTGTCGCCGACCCCAATAAATATCTATTAAACATATGAAAGCACCCTATTTGGTCTCCCTTTGAGGCAATATGACGTAATTGTCAGAAAACGGATCTGCAGTGAGCCAGAAGATCCGTAACTGACTCAGATTGTCACAAAGTTGGTGTTAAAATGACACAAGACATTAATGCAAAACTCCTGATGGCTCGACACAGCGAAAGTGCACGGCGACGATATATACTGGATATAATGCCCGGGGGGGGGGGTGAAAACAGAGGTCACTGTATGGGAACAAGTATGGCCACCTCTACCCCAAAAGGTGAGTTCGTTTAAAGTTTCCGTTCGCTACATGTTCAGATTTAAGGGATTTGGGTCTATTTTAAAAAGGCGGCAAGAGAAACAAAAAACCCCGAAAGTACAGTCGTAGAATATGGATTGACGGCTTCACACCTCGTCGAATAAAACGACTTGAAATCTAAAATGCACATGGGACCAGGACAGGACGAGTGGCTCCACATAGAGCCCTGGGCCAAGTTCAATATGTTTCCCAGTTACCAAACGGTCGCGGATTCAAGAGGGTCATACATGCCAATGGTGTTTCCAACTCAAAATGGCATTTTTGTTGGCACAGAACAGAACTAGAAGTTCCCCCTGAAAGAAATGAATTGATGATTTTTTTTTGGCGACGGGCCTATTTCCAAAAGCAAGAAATTACTGCGGCCCTGCTTTATTCGATTACTTCCACAATACACGAAGCCCTGCGTGACTGTATCTGCCCACATCTCTTCGTATTTCGAGATTCGTCGTGCGGAACTGCCGACTCTACTGGAAAGTTAAACATTTGTGGAGGCACAACTTAACAGGCGAGTGTAAACGAAAACAAAGTAAAATACAAAACCCCACTATAATGAAAAGCCCGGGGGCGGGGAATAATGAACCACTCTTTACTGCAAGTACATCGGAGATGAATATTTTGTAGCCACTAAGGCTTGTTCATGAAAAAAATGGCAGGCCCAACAAGAAACTAATACCTCTAACAGCTCAACTAAAGTCCTGCTTTAAACTGTTGACGGTCACTGAAACATTCACATCAATTCTGCCAATGTGAAATCAAAATCGGTCCTTTTAAAATAGGCCACCAGTATTTTATTAGTCTGCATTTACGCAACCAAACTCTGGAGAGCTGACACTCTCTAACACCCGTTTCAAAAAAAAATTAATACTGTCGTAAATTAGACCATTCCACAAAACCATCAACCCACCTTTTAGCTCTGTCCGAGTGGCACACATCTCCTAAAAACTGCGTTTCACGGTCTGATTTCTCTAACTGAACACAGTGGTAACTTTGACCGCAGCAAAAAAAGAGCACTTAAAAGTTGCTGGATTTCTGTAGTTTCCTTTGGTAAATCCTTAATTAAATTGAACTCACATCCTCCCTGAATCGAAATTATGGCTCACATTTACTTCCAGGGACACTGGTCTTTACTCTCTTCATGGTTTTGTGCGCAAACGGTTCGTAATTAAATCTGGTTTTAACAATACGAGTGGAAAGCCCGGGTAAGGATCAGGCATTATAGCCGTTCCTGATAGGGTTTCCGGGGAAATAAAATCTCCACTCCTTAAATTAAATTGCAGTCTCCCAGGGCACAGTGGTTGACGTCATTCTCAAACCCTCACAGTCAGGTCTTTTTAAAGAATGGCCAACGTTGCTTACACATTTAACATAAGTTCCCGGTACATTTACCAGCATATTAAGAAACAAAGAGGAACAAAAGAAGTCTCTGACATTGCTTTGAAAGTGATTCAAAGTTACTCCCTATTCAAGTTACCTGATAGGATTTCTTTTCTTTCAACTCCTTTTATACAAAATAGCAGTAAAATGATACACTGCCTCATTGCACATACACACTGTTTGACGTTGAGATGACTTATGAATGAAACAAAGTACCCCTTTTCATCTGGGTAATTTACAAGGTACAGGTATGTTTCGGTTTCCTATGTAAGGCAAGTTTTGGCTGCATGGCTCAATCCAAGTTTAACACATAACACTGAGTAAATAAATCTGTTTCATAAAACTATGATTTACTAGATGACTACACTGTTGTGAAATGTGAATACCACAACCCTAACAGAAACAGGAACCAAACTCACTTTAAAGATTTTTCTGCCTAAATTGGACAAAATCAGTATTTCAACACTTCATAGCCTTGTGGCTGGCAGACAAGCACTCAGGCAAGTTTCAAACACAACTGGATTTGCAAAAGCTGGCTTAAGTACACGTATTCCCTTCTGCAGGTAGCCATCAGACAATTAGTCTGGTTCTGTGAAATGACCCTCCCCCAACACACCCAACAACTAGAAGCCACCCGTCTAAAACATGATTTGGTTCATACATGTAAAGCAGAGGGTAAGCTTAGAAACCCTGACTATTCATTACATCTAACAGTGATTTTTTTCTTTTCAAGTACGAGCTTTAACTCATTAAAAACTTATCAGGTTTCCATATCAATAATGTTGTTGAGTGGTTACCACATCCCTAAAACTCGCTGATTTTACCACTTGGCTGCTTGGAAACACCTGACCACGGCCAACATTGTGGTCAGCCCGTCAATTTGAGCAAGTACTTCAAAATTACGGGCAATTTCTGGAAGGCAAGGAAACTACAAATGCCCCATGAACAATCAGATTCACTTGATCAGGGAACCAGACTATACTCAAGAAACATGCACAATATACACATTGCAGAAAAGAGGTTACGATTATCAAAGATATACAGTATGCCTGTTGATGAAACAGTTCCTAAAGTTTGTACAACCAAATAGCATGCAGACACAGGACTATTGACTATGCTGAATCCTTACATCAGACCTGCCAACAAGCCATACTCCTTCCTGAGGTCAGGCATTACCACACAATAGATTCATATTTGAATGAACCGAAGGCTCATTTAAATACCTTTTAATGCGTGCATTTGATTAGCTTCCATGAATACACCAGTGTTACACGCAAGGGAAGCCTTGAAATGACGCTAATTGAACGCTGCAGTTGATTTGCCGAGGCATTCTGGGAAAAAGATCAAGTCCCCGCCACGTTCCATGACGTCCGTGCTCAAACAGTCCATCCGTCACGTCATTACACTCGTGCAGCCTCCACAGACCTGCTCACCAGCCAGGGTAGTGGTGGCTGACACCAGGGCAGGCACGAAGATCATGTGATGCCAAAATGAATGCTCTCGTGTAAGTTTGACTTACACGTGTCAGCTAATGGAACGCACCCAATCTACTGTGTGGTAAAGTCTGACCACAGGAAGGAGTAAGGCAAGGATGGCAGGTGTGTTACATGAATGTACAGCGTGTACAGACAAAACTGGCGTAAGCCTTTTTAATGATACAGTCATTTCTGGAATTTATACACTTGTACAGAGAATAAGGAAAGGCTCGAAGGCAGATCGGGTTGGTCAAGGTAGGACTTACTAATATACTGAGCATGCACAGACGTACAACCCCATAAGATCATTTCATGATAGGCACGTTTCAACCATCCCTTCTCTCACGTGAGATCACATAGTGCCATGAGTTTTTGTTTTTGAGTTGAGGGAAAAAAAATGTTTGCATTACTAGAGGAGATAGAACCTCCCTCATTCAAATCACCTCTGAGGGACTGGGGTGACTTCTCGCAGGCTGGTCAACAGAGGGCGCTGTGGCTGCAATCACCTCGGCTTGGAGATTATCTTCAGCTCAAAGTCTGTGTAGGAGTCAAAAGAAACAAATCATGCATTTGGGGCTTGTACATGTACACACAACTGAGAAATAGGCAAAGTGGAATATGTCAGGAACTGATGTTGGGCTTGACAACCAGTCTAGCAGCTGGATGCCTTTCTTGTGCATCTTGGATCCTTATGGCTAGTTGGCTACATAAGGGAATTAATACATGCTTGGCCAGTCTTAAATGTGCCTCTGGGACCGGCTCAGGAGAATGGACGCACGTGGCTCGAGCATTAACACTCAGCGCTCATTCTCCTGAGCTGGTCTTAACCATTAGTTTGAAACCAGCCAAGCACATATTTATTCCCATACATAAATACCTTTTTATTCAGAGAGTCAAAAGAAGTCAATTTGATGGATTTCCAACGATCTTTTTTTTTTAAAAAGTATTTTACCTTCCTTTTCCCAATCACCCTCGTCCATTTTATGGTATATTCCTTGTAAAAGTTGTCCAAAAGAGTCTCCTTATATGGATTTGGCACATGCTTAGCACACAGACTCTTGACAAACCAGAATTGATTCAAATGTCTCATATTGAAATGCCAGTGCGTGATTTACACAGTGGGCATTATCATTCCTAATCGGGTATTAACAAATGTCAATATACAGTCAAGTTGCACGTTGTTGAATAGGCAAACTGAGGCATTTATGAATGTAGTTTAACGCCTGCCTTTGCAGATGCATATGCACAGGTGCCCTGATGTAAAATGAATGAACAGCATATGTACAACTGCGGAGTGACTTGTGTCTTTCACTTTTCTAGGCCTTTCTCCAAATCCCGGCTTCGTCTCTGACTTGATGGTTTCATTGTGAGCTCCACACTCACAGACAGAACAATAGGAAACTGTGAGCTTTGCATCAGACGATTGAATATTTCTGAAGCATTAACCCTGAATGTGCCAGCTCAAAGTACTCAATTTGAGAAACTCAAGTCAGGAGGTACGAAGCCACGATTACGGGAAAAGCCCTGCTCACTGCAAGCTAAACAGCACCTTTTACGACACAAGCAAAATGTCCAACCCAGACCTGTATAAAGAGAGAGTGGCAGCAGCTTCAGATTTTGGAATCAAAATGGCTGTTCATTATATGTATGGGCATAGTAGAGCTTTAAAACCAACTGTGTCACTGGCACACACCTGCCAGTTTGTTTTCAATAATTGTGACACTTTTGTCGTAACTCTCTCAATACACGGCTCCAGTCCAACCTGTCTGAGGCTACCCCCATAGTACCAGCAAGTTTTGAGGATGCTACCGAGTAACGGATACATGTGCACATACATGTCGTTGGACAGCTTCAGATGGAAACGTTATAGGTCAACATAACATGCTATCCAACACCATCTGTGCTTCAACCCAACACCAGCGTGCTCATGCACAATTCTACACAAGGAACTGTGCAAGCTTAAGCAGAGCTCTAACCATTCAACATTACAAGAGCATGCGGGTAACATATGCAAACCACAAGCATAAACTAGATGCAAGAGAGTGGTGAGGATCAATGAACTACATGTGAAATAAGTAGAGGCATATGGTCCATTTTTGATGCCTGTCATTCCTTGAATCGTGTACATGTGCACAGCAAATGTTCAGCCATGTCATTGTGTTTTGACCATGTTAAATGGCACTTCCTTTGGAAATTACAATTTAACATGTTGCATTATTTGGTTGTGTGCTACAATCTCGGGGCAAAGTTCCAATCCGTGTGAGTCCCCTTGTCCCAAACCAAATGCAACTTAAAATTTGTGGCATATGAACGTGTCAAATGCAGGAATCAAAATGTACAGGAATGTATACAAAAACACATGCCTTACAGGATGGTGCTCCCAGGATGTAGGCAGGCAGTTTGTGAGTACAAAATTTGAGCAATGGCCAATGGGAGGGTTGGGGGTGTTAAAGCATTTCCATGTTGAAAACCTTGCAGTGAAAGCCAAACCATGCCAACCTCTGTACAAATCGGTCAATTCTCGAAAGTTAGTCTAGAGGTGAGTTCAAAAACCAGCAGAATTTGTGTGTCTAAACACTTACCTGAGAAATAAATCCAATTACCAGGTTTAGTTCCCCGCATGCTTTTAAACCAATCTAACACTAGGCTCTTCCCGCCTCCTGTTGCTAGGCAACCCATCGGCTAGTATCTCCTTTTCATCACATGATACCAGTTCAACTTTGCCTTCTTTTCCTACAAGACGGTGGCAATGAGTTACGGGGGGCGGGGTTATGACAGAGTGGGAGGGGGATGTGCATTGAAATGAAGGTGGACCGGGAACGGAGGAGAGGGAAATGATCAGAAGCGACGAAAAAACTCAAATTGAATACTCAGAGCTGGAGAGCTGGAAACCCTAACAATTGGCGCACCTTGCAATTTTATAGCTACATACATGTACATGTAGTCAAATGAACTCGGGCCAAAAGAGAGAGCATCTTCTAGTGTCTGCAGCCATGGCAGTCAGCTTTAATTAATAAAGTATTACATACACAAGACCAGTGCATATGCATGTATACACCTGTGTCTCTTCAAACACGTTCATGATATTCAAAATAATAAGGCTGCGAATGGGCAACGTTCAATTTTCTGAGCAGTAAACCACACAAGTCAACGATGCTAACGTAATTTCCTTATTTTTAGAAGGATGGTGGCAAAACAATGCAGCAAAGCAAAAAAATATATACACGTAGGTGCGTGGTGAGTATACACGTACTGTGCAATGTATGTCTGTATCAAGAGGGGTTCACACTACGGCACCCCTGAACCTGTATGTACAGGTCCAGGTCCCGGTACATGTCCATGTCCATGCTCTGCACAGTATTGACATGAATGTACATGTACATGTGAGTCTCATGCCATCACAACGGAAGTACTTTTTCTTTTTAACTCTTTTATAATTACCTTGTAGGTTCACTGTTCATCAAAAACTGAAAGAATGGGGTTACTTCTTCTGATTATACATGTACATGCATTTGTCCCCCCCAAAAAAATCCACCAAAAACAAAACAAAAACAAACAAATGAGACTATCAAACTAAGCTTTTATTAAAAATCACATCAACAAAGACGGCAGCTGTGCTAAGCTGAGATGAACTCTTTCCGTGTATATTACCTGTAAATGCAGTTGAGCTAACATGTAAGAGCAACTCTGATTAATACAATGCAGGAAATGTGCCCCATCTACTTATATTTTACAAATCACTGCATGCACAGGAAAAGAACAGACGGGTAATTCCAGAAATTAGGGGTCCAGTTTTTTCCTGTTCCTGTCACATTTGATACGTGATTGTGTAAGTTAGTTCAGAAGACATTCTTTAATTTCCGAGACTGATAAATTAATGCAAGTTACCTGCTAAACAAACAGTAATAGTTTGAAATCAATTCCGGTGATACCGGGTATTTCCATGTCAAATACATGTAACAAAGACCAGATGTAACAGGGACACCAAAATGTTGCATTTTTGGATTTTTGGACCCCTAATTTATGGAATTACCCATATACATATACAAGTACTGCTTTTCTTTCTTTCTCTTTTTTTTTGATACCACTCAGTATGACATCATGATGAATAGGGATACTGTGTCAGTGACAAGAGCTCCACCCTACAGTATTTCAACTATTTGTCCAAGGTCCTGGAACCCAATACTGTATTCAGCAACTTCTGACACATTTGTGGCACTGGCACAGATTAAAAACATGGTACAACAAGATTGGCCACTTTTCAAGTACATGAAGATTGGCCACTTTTCAAGTACATGCACATGTAACTCCCCATCAAATAAACACCTCGCTGGTGTCCATGTGGCAGAGGTGATGAAAACCAACACCAAGTCCTACTTGTAATTGTGCAGAACAAGAACACCCACGCTGGGCCTTCATTGCTTTGGCAATGATTTATTTCAGTGATACAATTCAGTGTATATAACATACAAGCATCATAAATATATCTACATGCGGTACATGTACATGTAAGTGGATGTTTATCTCTTCTTGCAAGTTATAGTCTACTTTACATGTAAATACCTTACAGTCATTTGCAAAAGTTTAAGACCACCTTGAATTTTATTGGTATTTCTGTCACTGGGCCTGCTTTACAGTCTCACTGAATGATCACTTAACATGATTTTACAGTGGTGCATAACATCAGTGCAGTGCTACATACCCATTTCAATGGAATTGTTTGCAAAGGCAGGTCTTGTATGACATTTTGTCTGCAAGGCAGCATGGGTAACAAAAACAAGCCTAAGTAATCAGAAATAAAGGAGGGCACACTACATGTAAATATCAGACTGTTCACATTTCAAATCATAGCAATGCAGTTAAATAGCTGTTTAACCAAGATACTAAGGTTACACATTGAAAGTAAATATAACTTACCATGATTGATTGGTTTAAGTTTAGTTTTTCTTCAGGTTAACCCTAACCCTCCTCAATCCTCCAACAGGGGAAGGATTCAGGAGGGTTAGGGTTAATGGATTGTATGGGTGGCCCTAAACTTTTGCAAACGACTCTTCATACATGTACATGTTTTCAGGGTCATTTACAAGTATGGTACAGTAACTGATTCACCCCAATAGGCTCAATATACTCAATATCCAACAAATGAAGCTCTGCCGTTTTATGTAGTTCTGTTCTTTGAAACAGGGCAGTGAGCTACATTTCATGGATTGTATGTGCATGTGCAGGTATGAAATTGGGATTCCCATGGACTTTGGTATTTACATGTATTTCCTTGTCACTTCAGTGTACGTGAATAATTTTCGAGCATTCCATTCCCCTATTGTCACTATTTCGTGAGAGTCAATGTGTCTGTATTTGAAAGAGCCCAAACAAGTTGAAAACTTCATGGTTAACACTCGGCACAAAAGTAAATTCACGCAAACAGGTGACCTCAGGCTGGAAACTTGCCCTGCACAATTTGCAAAAACCTGTCCATATCATTTTGAACGTTGGCACTCTTCAAAGAGTTCATTGTGAGATCAAAATTATCTGGCGAGTACTTCAAACTGAGTTCATTGTATGAACAGAACCGGGGTACACATGTACATGTACTTTTATCATGAAAGACATGATCTACATGTAGTGTGCATGTACCTGCAGCCTCTACCACACAACTTTACGCCATTGTCTAATGTAGGGCAAAGGTTTTTGCCTTGACAGACTACTGTAGGCCTGCATGTACTTGCACCTATGATATGAATTTGCACTTTGAGTATGACATGGCAAGAAAAGCTTGGTGATGTACAGTATGTACACATGTACAGTGTATGGTGCATGGCTGGGTGCAGGGGGGGGGCTGGGGGTCATAGAAGCAGCGAGGTAGTTTCAGGCCATCTATCTTGACCAGCATGAACTGTTTTTAATGCTCTACATGTTACATGTCACTATTATGAAGATGAAACAGAAAGCTTGCACAGAAAGTTCATTTAATCCCAATAGAGCCAGGGAGGGGTAGATTCTGCCCCCCCTCCCTTGGAACTTGGCGGTCCTTTTTCTTTCTCCCAGATCTTTCTAAAACTCACAGTGATTACTGTGAATTGATGTGGACTTCCTTTTGAACACAACATCAGGTACATTTGCACAGTCCACAGCATCATTCTGTCTCTCTGCCCTCCCTCATGCTCTTGTATCAAGTGTTCCAATACTTACAACTGGAACATCTCTAAATGTGTGCTCCACTGAATTAACTTCTTTTATTGTTGAGCAGTTCCTCAACTGAAACCGGCAACAAGTCATTGACAAGTGTCATTTCCTGTGACGAGTTTAGCATCTGCGACTGCAGAAATGACTAATCAGCAATGACCCAGTCTACTGTTTGCCTATGCTAACAGAACAACCAGTCTGGGGTTTTTTTTTCTGTCCATTATCAATACAATGCATGGCACGCATGACTGTCCCCCAAGCAGAAATACAATGTACATACAAGCGTACATGTACAGTACATGTACACACATCACAAAATGAGTGAAGTCACCTTCATGTCAAACAAGAATACTGTACAAACAGCACAAGCATGCCACTGGGCTTAAAAATATAGATTCACGTTATTCCATCTTTCATTTAAAAATAAGAATAAAACAGCTCTCTCACCAAATGTACTACACTTGGATATTTTGTATATGTGCTTACTTGCATGTATACATGTACTTTTATGAGTTTGCATTATTGCATAAATGTGCTTTGTATAAAACTTTAACGATAAATATTCATTAAATATTAAAATAGACATACATGTACATGTATGTTGCAATATATCTTCATATTCATGTTAAGCATATTTTGCGATTGAGTTTATTTCACTAAAGCCTGCATACCAACTTTATACAATTTCACAGTATAAGGGATGTACTGGTACATGTAGGTGTGAGTGTGTTTTTTGTGAGATTTTTGGCACGGTTGCCAATTTCAAAAAAGGTGAGCATTCCACAAGTTTGCTTTTGGCTGTGGAACTCGGCATCTGGGGCTAATTTCATAGCACTGCTTTAGCGAAAAATTGTATAAGCGTGAAAAAAACCTTGCTTGACAAATCAGGTTACCAGCCAAAACTTCATGTGATGTATATTGTTTTGGAATGGTATTTAGCTGTCTTTTGGTTAGCATGACAATCACATAGAGTTTGAGCTGGTAACCTTTGTTTATTAAGCAAGGTTTTTTTGTGCTTAAGAAAATTCTGTGCTTAAGCCACTCTACGAAATAGGCCCCTGGTGAGAAAAGTACACTCAGCACCGAAATATGCATGTAAATAAAAAAATCTGGCTGTCATTTAAGAAATCCGCCAACTAAAACCCGGTACTGGAAGCCTGATTTCCACCCAGGGGTCAGTGGACGATTCAGGAACATGATAATACAGGAATACATGTATAATAGAACATGGATGGCTGTCAGGCCATGGCCTTCTCTGTCCTTTCCTTTTTTATCCAGTACTGATTGGGATGACTAGTAAAAGCCTACAACAAGTTGTAAGCCTACCATGTACTTCACTATTTTTTCCACAGGCTTTCTGAATATGCAAAGAAGTTCTGGGCAAGTACATGTAAGATAAGGTTAAATCCAGGTAATTGGTATCTGTGTACATGTACCTTCACCTGCCACAGCCTAACGGTAGCTGAATGCTTTTTAAAACTATTGCATTATTGTAAGGATGCAGTTTGAAACAACTCCAAAAATAAACATTCTCAAACAGGTACACCCAAAATTATCTAACGTTTCGCAAACCCATCTATAGCTATCTCTGCAGGTTGCACGTGCACATGGTAAGAGAGCGATAGGGTAGGGAGTACACACCTACGCTAATGCCATGCATGCAAAAATGTTTGGCTGGTGAGATGTGAATGTTGCTTGATGAGCAGGAACATATCATTACTCTACATCTAAGGTACGTGTGCAACCAGACAGGACACGGTACGTGCAACAGCAACGCCAACATCAACGTGACACTCAAAACTCCACCATCTCTGTCCAGTTATGGGCATCGATGGTCACCACCCGGACTTTCTTCAGAGAAAAAGACCGCCCCCTACCTTTACTCGCTCCGCCCCGCGAAATCTCACTGAATTCGTTCCCCCTCCTCTTGCCGCTGTCCGCGTTGACGGACACCATGCTGTTCTGGTAGCTGTTGTCTTTGTACGCGCCTGCAGTGGATGATATCCTTGTGGGTGATGGCTTGTTGGGACTACTCTGGATGTTTGGCGAGATGGCTTCGATTTCGGGTACACTGCCAATGTTGTAATGAACAAGAAACACACTCAGGCCCTGAAATCTTTTCTGCAGATTCCAAGAGGATGTAAATGGTGTAATACTCTTGGGGGGGGCCCAGTTCAGTAACACTATGAGATGACAAGTTGGGCACAAACGCTGATGGATTGCCCCACCCCCCCACCGGAGCCCAAAAGTTTATCCAAAAATACCCCCCTGCCCCCAAAGAAAAAGAGATTTCAAAACAGCATGTATTGCTGCGGCACAGGAACATCTGAAAAGGACCACAATTTAGCCTCAGCCCTCAGGAAGGCCATCAAAGTTACATAACGAAATTTCAAAATTTTCTGACCCCCCCAGAAAACAATTTAGATCTGATATGCCCTTGGACACAAATGCAAAAAGTGCTACACACTTGATCAATGTCACCTGATCCATTTCTGAGGGGTATGCACTGTACAGTACTGTACGCATGTCAGGATGACTTACTACATACAGGATTCAACTGTTTTACTCAGTGAGTCGTCGTTAGTCTGTTCAGGTTTCTCAGTTCTCAGTTTCTCGTGAGAACAAATCTGGTTTTGTGAGTGTCATGATAGCAGTATCATTAATGAAAAAAACAACAACAGTTGTTGATTGATAACAAGTGGAAAATGGTTTTTGTGAAGTCTCAAGGTTCATGACACACATATGGCCTCACCTCTTGTTTCATTCTCCTTTCAGATATCGGTATGCTTGAGTGCCCTATTAGCACACTGCAAATAAAACATGAGAAACAGTTACACACCTGCTTGTTGTTTCGATTTTGTCCAAGTGGGTTTTCCCCTCTCGGACTTGCCTGTCAATGCGATTGAAGAAGTCCATCTGGACGTCTCTGGTCTCCTCCACGACGACTGAATCGTCCCTCTTCTCATCGCACTCTTCCTCCTCGTCTGAACTGTCAAACAGCACCGTGTCAGCTGCCACTTTATGGATTGGACTTCCATTGGCCCTGCGACGATCAGAAAGATTGAGGAGTATAAGGGGCCGGTATGTTACAGTCACATGAGCAGAATCTCTCTGACGGTTTTAGGATTTTGCTGTGCCTTGAGCACTCCATAACCTGTTCTAAATGTGACTTAGAGTGGAGGCTATAACTGGATTGAGGTGAGGGAGTTTTGAAATTTAAACAAATCAATGTCTATTTTCACGTTAAAACTGACGAGTAACTTACACCCATGTACCACACATACATCCATTTTTGATTGCAAAAGTGAAACAAATTTGTAAGAAAGGCTCTACTATTTCATGCAGAACAACAGCTTACATGTACATGTCTGTTCACAAGTATAAAATGTTTTGAGAGTTCAAACACTTGCAGCAATTTTTAACCACAGGGGAAATGACGTTTTGCAGTGTTTGGTGTTCAATATCTTGGTATACATTTACATGTAAGCTGGGTTGGGGTTTGGCTTTGGCTCTGGGTCAGGATTGGGATTTTGGTTTGGTTTTCTGGTTACAATATTCAGGAGTGGTACAATAAAATACCGGTACTTGAAGTTCACTAGAAGAGCCAGCTTAGTGTTACTAGAGCGGACATTAAACGTCATCCCCCTGGCATTTCTGCTAGGAACCTTCCAAGCGACAGAAACAAGGTCTAATTACCACCAACTGCTATTTAAAAGATCAAAAGACGATTTATTCCGTGCGGGAACAGGAGATGGCGAGCTTTTTTGAAAGGAACAAAGTCCGTTTGGAGGGGAAAATGCTGCTTGTGTTGTTCATGTGTGTTTGGCGCAGGACGCACTGGGCACGTGACCAAATTCTGTTTGTGTGTGTACATGTACATGTATGATCTTGCCATGTGTGTTCACGAAGTCAACTTTTTCTACCAGCCTGTCTCTGCTGGCTTCACCTCAGACATTTGTCACAGTCAGTACAGGTTTAAACATGCATGCAGGGAAAATACATGTACATGTATGTAAGCCAGAGGGCAACACAGTTTGGTCTTAAATTACCGTCAACACACTGTCTTGGATTTTTGCTCATCCGTGATCACTTATTCATGCCTTTACATGTACAACTGAAAATTTAAAATGTGCCCATAGCTTTATTTCTTTTACTTACACACCCACACCTTAATGGTACAGTCCAAATTTCGTTAGAATGCAAAATGGCAGTCAATGGCTACTGTGCTTAGAGATAATTTTTGTGTGTGAAAATACATGTCACTTACACACCCACACCTTAATGGTACAGTCCAAATTTCGTTAGAAGGCAAAATGGCAGTCAATGGCTACTAACACTGTGCTTAGAGATAATTTTTGTTTCCTAATTGAAATGCAACCACAAACCACTGAAAATAATTGTTTAGTACAAATATTACAGCGCTGTGCCTCCTTAGCTGATTTATACAGTATTTTGGATGTGTTGACGGTGTGTTGACGTTACTATCACGTGTTGACAGTGATTAGTAAGACCCAAACACTTTACAACTTGTGTCCATGGAGTTGCATGACATAACAGATACATGTACATCAATGTATATGACAATACAGACACAAATTTGACATTTTCTGAACAGAAAGTATCCACGGTCAACAATCAATTAAAGCCAAGTGAAAGATTGTTACCGTGACGTTGCATTCTCAAGAACGTGGGCTGGAAGAGGTTGATCTCCAACAGGAATGCTGAGCGTTGAACGCAGGAAGATGCTGTCGTTGGTGTATAGTTTATTGGCTCTCTTAATTTGCTCCACCTGTATGTGCATTGTATGAAAAAAAGTGTTCAACAATTAGCAAGCAACATTCAGGTACTCTGTAACCTTCAGATGTACATGTACATGTACAAAAAAGTCGTTTCATTTTGCTGATATGAAAGTGAGCAGACTGTCTATTCCCAGGTTATATGTGACAAAGGTTACATCTGTCTTTGTAACAATACGCTAGGCCTACTCATTGAGAAAAACTTACATACCGTAGTGTTCATTTTAGCTTAAGTTTAAATAGTCTTTTTAACAAAAATGTTTTTGAAAACTGAAAACAAACAAGTATGGTTTGTGAACAATTCTGCTTTCATGCTCTAATTCAAACACCAGAAAATGTCTGTCCACGTGACATACATACATACATGTACATTGTGCGTGATATCTGTCCATGAGACAAACATGATATCTGTTCAGTGACGTGTACATGTACATGTATGTATCTTCAAGATTGAACTTCTCTAATTTCTCAAATACTGCTCAATTTATCTTTACCTTTCTGTGGCAACAATCAGAAACAGCTTAGACATATGTAAGCAAAAAATAATGGCAAAATTTTACAGTTGGAAATTTGTTTGGAATGTCACGCAATGTTAGTTTTCTTTTGGTACATGTATTAGACGACAGATGTACGCAGCTGCGCTATGCAGCGCAGGCTTATGTAACACGTGTGTGTTAATGCCTATATTTGGCTATTTGTTTCTTTCAATTCACTCCCGCTTGAGCAGCCATACCTCGCCTTACTTGTATCACAACGTGATTGTCAATCATGAAACTCAGCAACGCTGGTACTTCTAACAACGAAATCCTACGGGCTATACAGTCTTTGTCCAATTCGATCGACGGTAAGGTGGAGTCTGCGTGCAAGAAGCAATGAACTCTAGTCGGTGATTTTCCCGACTTCAAGAGTGAACAATGGTGAAGGAAACAAGTACCAATACAAGCAGGCGGAGCAACTCGTCGGTTGATTGACAACGCCTGGCATCGTTGGACACCAGGGATTCCACAGCGGAAAGACAGGCTCTCCTCAAGGCCAGTGAGCTTGTTAAGCAACGCCAAAAACTAATAAAGCTCGCTGATCGATTTGCACAAGGCTGGGCCACAGTCAAAGAGTATATCACGGACGACTTGGCCAACAACTCGGATGATGAAAAACAACTCCGCAAGGCGGAAAAGTCGGCAGAAACCAAGAAAGCAAAAGCATCGATGAAGTCCAAGACCAAGCCACGCACTACAGCAGACTTGGTTCAACTCCTAGTCCTTTCGTGGTTTCGACTGCTACATGTACCAGTAACGCCCCGACCTCCGTACCTGTTTCCAATGCGGCATCATGGGATACGTGTGCACAAACTGCTCCTCCTTGCGAGCACTTAATCAGCCACGAAGATCTCAGCCCTCCGTTACCTCAACCATCAAGCCTTCCACAGTCTAGGAACTGGGAAGCAGCACAGTCTCATGCAATTGTGGAGGCGCCTACAGGTGTGAGAGGTAGGCTCAAACCATGTCTGGCTTTTTGGCAGCGTTGCAGCGTTTTCATTCAAGAGGTTATCCGTTCACGGTACAAAATTCCATTTTTTGTAGAACCCCCACCGATTTTCTTGAAAAATAATCAATGAAGTTTACAACACGCACATTTCGTTGAATCTGCTATTTCAGAGTTGATAAAAAATCGTTGCATTATGCAGATTTCACACAGGCCATATTGTTGCAATCCACTCACAGTTGCGGTAGGAAAAAAAAAAAAAGCTGCGGCTCGTTCTTGATCTTCGTCATCCCAATAAATACATTTGGAAGAAGAAATTCAAGTATGAGGATTACCGTATCATTTCCCCTTTCATTGTATCGTGATCAGTACAAATTTTTCCTTTGACCTGGAGTCAGGTTACCATCATGTGGAAATTTTTCCACCTCATTCCAAATATATTGGATTTTCTTGGCGGCACTCTGATACGGTCACTCGTTATTACACTTTCACAGTCCTACCAGTTGGTTTAAGTAGTGCCTGTCAGTTGCTTACTAAGTTAAACAGACTGCTTGTCCGTTATTGGCGAAATCAAGGCATCATGTCTTTCATACATATCGATGATGGGTTGATTAGATGAACATATTTCCAACACTTGAGTCAGATAATAAGAATGCCGAAATTGTCAAAAGTACCATTTTGCAATCTGGTTTTGTTCTTAGCAAAACAAATTTTTATTATGGTTGTTACTTTTTGTGGCCAATTTGCTGGAGTTTGCCAGTTTTTCTGGTTGTGTTTTTGTTTTGTTTTCAGACTCTAGGAAGGAAATGATCCAGATCATCACTGATCCCACTCTTCAGTATCTGACCCAAGACCGGCTCTCCGCCCTACTCAATTCAGCCAGAGCTCCGTCTACAATTAAAACTTACAAATCAGCCTAGCAACATTGGGAATCATGGCCAAGGACCAAGGCGACAGTTTCCATGTTTCCCATTCGCCCAATCGACTTCTGCCTGTACCTGGCAACTGTTCTACCGTTTGGTCACAAGTCCACCGCAGCTTCAGCGGTGAAGTGGGAACATGACATGGCAGGATTGCCATCGCCAACTGACGACCCACTTGTCAAGACTGCCATCTTGGGATATAGGAGACTTACATGTACAGCATCCCCGCCAAACCACAAAAAGCCTGTGTCTCCGCAAGTGACGGCTAAGCTTTTCAACGCCTATGGACACATCTCGGCCACACTAGCAGATCTGCGTTTACTGTTCATTTGCTTCATCAGTTACGCTGGGTTTCTTTGCTTCAGTGACCTCAGTAACATTTCACGCAAAGACTGTACCTTGAAGCCCAACAGTCTCTTCATTCACCTAACTAAATCAAAAACCGATCAGTTTTGTCAAGGCGCAGACATTGTAATTGCCAGAACCTAGCTTCCAATATGTCCAGTCGCCACAGCTGAACGATATTTCAATTCCTTTGGTGACACGCCTTATTCTTCACTACCATTGATTAGCAGACTCACTCGTTCAAAGTCCGGCTTAATCCCCACAAACCACCCCTTAAGTTACACCAGAACCAGGGAGATCATACTCGAAGCTTTGGAACCTTTTGTACCTGACGTAACCAAATTTGGTTTGCACAGTGTGAGATCAGGCGGTCTTTCTGCTGCATCAGATGCCTTACATGTACATGTAGTTCCTTCTCATATAATTTCCAGACATGGTAGATGGAGTTCTGATATAGGCTAGGAACACCTATATCAAAGTCGGTAATGAAACATGCTTCCCTCCTCAGCTTTGGGCATTTAATGTACATGCTAATGTTTATCTGTGATAATGTTTAATTGATGGAAGTGGTGTACTTTACCTAATATATCTATTAAATACTGCGAGGTGAACATACTCCACCTTCCCAAAGTACTCCAAATCTGGCTTCCTGTTTGTAGAGTTATTTTGATTCTCCCACATGAGGGCAATATAAAAAGAAAATGTTTTCTTTTGGAAGCATGAAGAAAGCAAATGTCTTTTAGTGGGGACAGACCCAAATCTCAGAGATAACAGAAACAAAATGAGGCTCCAATTTTCACACTGCCATGATTGCACAGATTGCACGGTCATCTTATCAAACGGAACAATATATTCATAGTCTCTTATCCGAGTAACATTATATGTAGGTCTACATGTACCGTATATGCCTGATAGCCATGAATGATGACTGATGTTAGAGCGAGAGCACACTACATGTACATGTTCATCTTGGCATAGCCATAGCCCTTACCGGTACATGTACCTGGTGGCTGGGCAAATCAAATTCAATAATGATGATTATCTGATTATAATAATATAGTCCAATGAACTTGGACTGTACATGTATGGGTCAAGGTACTTTTGAATTGCTGAATGAAGAAGACGACTTCGACCATGTCAACCTAGACGACAAGAGCGGTTCCAATTTGAAGGGGAAGTTCTCTTTCTTCCATACAAGTACAAGTATATGAGTAAACCTTGCCATCATGATTGGAATTTCGGATTCTCACTTAATCCTGAGCTGGGCACAGTAGCTGACTAGGCAGTTTAAGGACCGTTTTGGAGGTGAATTAAGAGGATCTTCATTCGGGGTGCAACAATAGGCCCTACACAAGCTATTTTGCATGAAATAAATTAATGGAAGCAAAAATGGATGGTAAATGTACTTGGACTCTATCGCCTGACCATGTCCAAACGTTTAAAAAGGCGATTCACAAAGTCCAAGTTACTCAAACCAAAATACACAGGCATCTGACAGGCAACAGGCAGTCCGAGTAACTTGCCAATATTGATGGTAAGATTTAAGCCTACTCACATTTGGGAAGAAAAGAGAAATTTTCCCTTTAAATCAGAAACCCCATTGTCGTCGAGCTGGATGTCGCCATCTTGTCCAAATAGTGATTTAAACAGTATGTTAATTTACTGGAGACGATGTCACAGCACACCAGCCTAGCGAACAATTAAAAAAAAAGCATGCCATGTTGGCACACGTGCGCCAACGACTGATACCTGATCATAGCTACCTGACATTGCAGTGCTCAGGAATCAGTCATCCGTCATGTTGGTGTGTGTCATCGTTGTCCGACCATGTCAAGATGTTTAAAAAGGTGATTTGTAGAGTCCAAGTTAGGGACATGAATAAATGAGTGAGGGCGCTGTTTATATGGAAACTCGTTTTCTTAAATAGACAATTATGATTAAAATTTGTCTTTTTTTGCACACTTTAGCTCCTATTTCCAATTTTTGAAATTTCAACTGAAGCCAGCATTTGATTCATTGAAATACGGTACATGTAAAATTAAGAGCAAAGATTTTTTTAAAAATAAGAATTTGGGGGTTTTCAGTCAAAATCCACACTCTTTTTTAAGTACAAAATAATCACATTTGCTCTGCGTTACACATGTAAAAAAATCTCAAACCATCCCAATTCAAATTGATATTTCTTTGCTTTGCACAGTCTGATGGAATGCAAATTTATATCAAAATATTTTTTATGACATCCTCTTCAAAGTACATGTAACTTCAAAAATAAAATGAAAAAAAAATGACAAATTTATTAACTTCCCTATCTAAGTTGGGGGGGGGCCTTTGCCCAGGCCTACAGTACATGATGTACACGTACTTAGGCCTACATACATACATGTACCGGTACATTGTAATTTGTACATGTACATACATGAACGTCATGTAGTTGTACTAGGTGTGCTATTCAGCCTAGTATTATTGCTAGGCCTTAACATGCTCAATAAACAGGCTCCTATTACTTGATCACAATGGATGCCAGGCCGCTCATCCTGGTAAAATAAAAGAAAAACATTACATCTGAAACAAAACGTACGCTAAAAATGCTAAATTTACTTACTGTCACGGAGTATTTCAGAGCAATACCCGCTAGAGTGTCACTTGGTGTGACGATGTGTTTGATATAAATATCTTGGGTTGATTTTTTGGTGCTTCCGTACGACCTTCCATGCGACTTTTTGGTGACGCCTAGGAGGGACTTTTCACCACCCGTTTTCGTCTGGGTAGACATGGTTTGATGAGATGCGTTTGTATCCAAAATTATGCGTCCGAGTTTCCCAAACCAACCAGGAAAAATGAAGAAAAAAACTGCTGTTTCCGACCCGCACACTTCTCACACTATCTGACTATCTCCACCTGATCGATCGTATTTATACATCATAACGACGGGAAACCAGACAAGTATGCTGTTAGACTGGCTTCATGCCCCTGAGTCAATGACCCGACCACAAGACCACATCACAAGGCGTTGCAAACTCATGGAGGCGCACTTTTGTGAAACGCCTCTATTGCACATTGTGCTACAGACATACACGTACACGAAGATAAGAATAAAAAGTCTTTTATTCGATGAGAATGGCTGCAGGTAATTTTTAAAAAATATCCTGCTAATGGTTAAACACACGCTGTGTGTACTTTGCGTTATTTTGTAATTGTGGCGCTACGTTGCATTCAGAAGTGATGACGTATGCTGACATCATCGGAATTCATCATTCGACAAAGTTATCTTATTTTAATACGTGCATGAATTCAAAATGTCTGTACTCAGTGGAATGACAATTAAATTAATGTATACACAACACATGAGCCCATCCGAAGGGTGTGGAAGAAACCTTCTTTTCCCTTTCACAGACTTTTAGCTTGAAAACTTAGAGCTCAATGGGTATATGCATGGATCCAAAGATTGGTCGAGGATTGTGCCAAAAATTAGAGTACTGTATATGTAGAAAAGTGCTTTATTGCCACAGAAACTTCAAGTGAAACTCGGTCAAGAGCCATTTAGAAGCACTGATGAAAATTAATCCGACTTGACTAGTGGATACAATTTCAGTAATTGTCTGATGTGTCTAAAACTGGTTGTTCCTTCCATCCACATACAACTCTATATGCTTCCAACATTACCTCTGTCGGCAAAATTATGCCGGTCTTAGACTAAAACTTTCCCCAAGGTTGGTGTCTTCCAGGCAGTGACGTAACTACGGGGTGGGGGAACACGTGCCCCCAGCGAATGCCCATGGCGCCCTCCTAGTGCCTCCTCATTTAAAACCCATGCAGCTGTAGGCTGCTGCAGCTCACTGTCTTTGAGTGTCCCCTTGAAAAAAATGTGTGCGCACACCAAGGGTGCCTCCAACCCCGGAGGGTGTCAGTCACTTCACCCAATTTCCACTTCTCCCAATTACCACTTCGGCCCATTTCCACTTCGCCCCATTGATTATCATTCATTCTGGTCTCCAGTAACAGAGACATGGCCTCGATGCAACAAGTAAAAACAGAGTCGACGTTTGAGTACTCAATTAACGATTGGATAATCCAACTTTCAAAGGTCAAAACAGTGATGTCGATTTCCTGACCGCCGGACCAAATTTTTTGGTGAGACCCTAAAATTTGTATTGGCAAGTTAAAAAAAAAGTTTTCTTCGTGTTTCGTTGTCGCTGTGGTAAAAACACGAGCGCAAGCGCTAGTTCCCGCCACGCCGCACCCTTGTAAGAGAATGCGTGATGGAGTGTGGCGACCAGTCTATATGCCGCGGCGACCGTTCATGTGGGCCTGCGTGATCCGTCACGCATCGAAAAAAAAATCGATGTTTGCAATATTTCTTCACGTTAATTCTTAGTATCTCGTTTATGAGTGTATTTTCTGTGTTCATCAGTTTAATTTAGGGTTGTTTTGCTCGTAAGTTTCCTGCGCGTCGAGCTTATCCGATCGCGCCCGCTACGTACAGCAGTCTGGATGCATCGACAATTACCAGAATGATGCGAACAGAATTGTGTGTGTGTTGCTTTTATATTATATAACTTGAAGAGAATGAGAAATAACCCCGATGCTAGACCAACCATGCATTAATTCATCACAATGGACAATGCATTAGACATTAATTTAATGCCGTGGACTTTTCTATAATAACTACATGTCGTTTGTGGAACTCCTCTCTCGATCATTTTTCGAAGAGGCTTGTAACACACTCAAAACGGACGGCAATGTGGAAATGGGGAGAAGTAGGGATGGGGCGAAGTGGAGATGGGGCGAAGTGGGGATGGGGCGATGGGGCAAAATGGTTAGGGGCTACGTGGAAATGGGGCGAAGTGACTGTAACCCCCCGACATAATAGTCCTATACGCCACTGCTTCCAAGGGCGCACAAACCCTCATAAACAATCGTCACTCCTTGTATCCCCCACCAACACCATTGGGAGTTATTTTGAAAAACAAGAAATCAATAGTTTTTTATTCATTAGGAAAAAGCTGGGACTTGCGTCCCCTAACTGCAATATCCAGCTCCCCCATTCGCCCCAGTTTGGTACGGTTATTCAGCTACTGTCACAGCTACTTTCCTGTAGTGAGGGCACCTTACGCCTCATTCCTTTGCGTGGAGAGAAGGCTCAAGCCAAATGTGAGCGAGAGGAGACGGCTGTCCTAGCCCAATTTCAGTCCAAAGGTATGGCGTTCGCCTCCCCCAGGCCTTGTCGGTAATGGCACATTGTGGTCTGTGGCTGCGGCTTGCTGTGCAGTTTAGTAATATGAGTATCTCAGCCCCAGGCCATAATTTGATGAATTGGGACTTGGTATAGGAATTCAACCGTGAAAGCCACCAGGGCGCCTCCAACCAGTAGAGTTGTAACAAGCCGACTCGAGTCATTTTTAACGCAGTGAACCGAGTCGCGAGTCACTTACCCGTCAGAAATCGAGTCAAGTCGATTTGAATCACTCAAAATTGTGACTCGAGTCGACCGCGAGTCTTTGACTCGAGTCATTACAATTTTGCCAACTAGTGGTACACCAAGAATTGATCGTGGTGGAGGGCTTTGACTGGAATCAACCCTCCCCCAGGTCATAACTGTTCAGCCCCTCCTCTTCTCGGTTACACCACCGGGGACTGGGATGTACGGCTGTTTCAGAGCTAAATACAAGTTCAAGATGTACGTATATATAATATCTCCCTTTTCCAGAAAGAACAAAGAGAGCTTTCGTGTGAAAAGTTGAATCATGAACCAAACGTTGTTGTCGACTTTGTTTCAGGCCACGCTAAAATTTAAGCAGCTATGTTATTGTTTGCACTATACGTACAGGGTTGATAACTGACGGGCCCTATTACACACTGAGAAGAGCAAGCTTTGTATGTTTATGAGTAGGGCATGATTATACCCCCACACGTTTTGCAAAATTTCCCGTATTGTGATCTTTTGAAAGAAAATCCAACACACGTTTGTTAGGAACCATTTCACTCTCATTTATTTTTCAGTATGCTGCAATTCTGCGCTCATTTAATATTCAGGCACAAAGACTTAAAATGACGTTTATTTCTGTTGTCTTTTAATTAAATGAAGTACAGTTATCCACTTTTTCATAATCCCCAAAGGGCACAATATACGTCATGTATATATACCAATGCTCGGTCTTCTGAACTCTCTGTATATATATGGTTAAATTCGTCAATTATCTAATAACCAGGTAACCTACTCTTCAATCCAACTGCTTGCCTTATTATTTTGCTCATGTAGGAGAAGATAATTTTTCTGTCATTTGCCCCGCCAGTGCACTTTGCTGATTCAATCTTTCCTTCTTCCACGATCAGAGAGCAAACACCTGAATAGAGCCGGACGGTTGTTTTTGTGTTTATAAGATGATATGAGTAAGAACTTGGAGTAAGTATGAAGGAGTTACCTATGACGTTTGGCGTTACCACTGTACAATGTGATCAGCTGCCACAAGATTGACAGAGGCTCTGCTTACCCAAAGTATTGAAATAGACATGTACATTGTAAACCGGGTTAAAACCACGATTCGCGTTAACAACTATACCATGACCAAATTGGCAACATATACACCTTCTAGCTTTCAACTGCACACAGCTCAGCTGCCAAACGTTTCCATCTCTATGCAATTACCCCAATTTCTAGCATGTACAGGTTTGAAGCATTTACAAGCCAAATTCTTCACACTAAAAGCGGTCATGTCTTACAAAATATAATTCTCTATCAATTTTAACCTATAACACGGACATTTACATTTGCAACTAACTCT